TTTAAATGGTGCTTTTCTCCCCCAAGGTTCTGATCTTGGCCAACTGTTAATGTATTCATATCCCTTCTGGTTGTTACTTCTACTGTTATTGTTTAATCAGCAGTCACAAGACTGTAATCCCTACAATGGCAGAGAGACTACCTTCTTAGTGTCTGTCATATAGTTAGATGTTCCATAAATATCTGTTAAATGAATGAATAAATGATTTATTTTATGTGGCTTATATTGTTTTATCTTCTAGATCACAAGATAAAATATTTTTTTACAATTTTCTTACCAGCTTTATGGTTTTACCTTTCATATTTAGGCTGTTATTGATCTATGTAATCTGGCTCTATTTCTTCTATGTAGTTTTTCTCAGTACCCAACTGTTGATCAAAAAGCTTATTTTCTCATTGATTTGTGGTGCCACCCTTTATCTTTGTTGAGTTGACTGACTCACGGTTTCTAAGATTTAATACATTATCACTTCCTGTATAGTAATTTTCAAACTTTATAAACTGTGACCCAAGAAAAGAATATATTGTATATTATAAAACATTTTACACATACACAAGTTTGTAAAATATCTACAATGAAAGTTCTGCAAGAAAATACTCTGATGAATTTACTGAGTATGATACATTGTGATTTTTTCCATTGTATTTTATCACATTTTAAACAAATGTTCAGCATGATGACAGTAAATGGTTGCAAACTACAGTTTAAAAAAGATACTCCAGGAAGCCTTTCTATGAGCATCCATCATATGCTCCATTATATTCTTGTGTAATTATTATCACTGCATCTTGAAGTCACGACATTTCTATTATACATCTGTCTCCTTTCTAAATTGTGTATGTCCTTGAGCATTGAGATAATATGTAATTTCTTTGTGTCTCTATCACCTAGGATCTGGTGAATAAATTTATTTGTACTACATTTTTCTAGAATTAATAATACATCTAGATAATTCATGGTAAACATAGCACATCTAAAAAATTTTGGACTTGACATTTGCATACTCTTTCTTTTGAGGAAATTGCTTAAGTGCGTATAAAGAGAACTATTAATAACGAGTAGTATTTTCAAAAAGTTGTCCAAATATAATCTTGTGCACCATCAAGTATCAAGAATAGTATGTCAAATATAAGAAATTTGACTTTTTCTCAGAAATGTGGCCTCCTTGTGCCAGTTGCAATGATTCTGAGTATTAGTACACAGTTGTCAAAAATAAATCTCTAAACTAGTTATTTTTACATTCTGCTAATGGAATTTTCTCTCAGGTTATCTTCAATTGTTATTCTTTTTCAGTCATTATTTAATCTTTTGGAATTTAGAAGATTAGTTCTGAATTACAAGCCTCCATCAAATGCTCAAGATTTACCCCGAAACCAAAAGGTAAAATGTAAAAGATTTTTTTTAACAGTATATATAGTCTATATGTTCTCTTATATGTGATTGATATTTGGGCATTTACTTGGCTCATCAAATCGGAAACTGTCAATTTGAGTGTCAATTCATTAATCTCAGTTACCACAGCAACTTCTTATCCTTTGTTAATATATTATAAATATGACTTTTTTTCTTTACCTGTCACAGTAATATGCCAATTTTTGGTGTCACTTTAGTAATTTTTTTGAGGGGACTGTCACGTTTCAGTAAACTTTATAGGCTATAGTTTACAATTTAAGGTCTTTCCTCAATTGTCTCCTGAAAAATTTTGTGGAAATAGAAATTTCTTTTCAGTTGATTGTCTTGTGGAGCCCTTTAAAAAATGAGTTTTGCATTCATGTCTTTGCAGTACAAATGTGTATCTTTCATTTTGGAAGGGACTATCGTAGATAGGTAGTATAAAGTGAACAAAGAGCACACACACCAGGGCCAGATTGCCTGGGTTCTAGCTATGGACCTAGAGCTAGTTACTTGATTTCTCTCTGTTCCATTTCCTATCTGTAAAGCATAAATAATAATAGTAATTATTTCATAGAGTTGCTGTGAGCATTAAATGAGGTAAAACATGTAAGGGGCTTAAAAGTGCTTGGTACATAGTAAGAACTAGGTGTCAGCTATTGTCAGTTAAACAATAAAATAAAGTTTTTTAAAAATAAGACTTATTTAGGGCCAGGCGCGGTGGCTCACGCCTGTAATCCCAGCAGTTTGGGAGGCTGAGGCGAGCGGATCACGAGGTCAGGAGATCGAGATCATCCTGGCTAACACGGTGAAACCCCATCTCTACTAAAAGTACAAAAAATTAGCCAGGCCTGGTGACGGGCGCCTGTAGTCCCAGCTACTTGGGAGGCTGAGGCAGGAGAATGGCGTGAGCCCGGGAGACGGAGCTTGCAGTGAGCTGAGATCGCGCCACTGCACTCCAACCTGGGCGACAAAGTGAGACTCCGTCTCAAAAAAATAAATAAATAAAATAAGACTTATTTTAAAAAGAACCAGTTTGCACACAGAATTTATACCTAATGGAAAAAATTACTTACGGAGATGATATAGTTGTGTGTAGGACTTTAGTGGTTGATCTTGTCACAAACAATCTGTAGTCCTAAAGTGGACTTGTTGCCAAGACAGGGGAGTTAGTTTTAGGTTTCAGTGTACTGCTGAACTTTCTGTGACCTATTGTTAGTAGGAGTGATGAATTATTAAATTATTTTTTCTTTTAGTGTTTAATTTTTAAAACCACTTTTTCTGTAAACACGTAAAACATTTATAATGCTTGCTAGTGGGATGAGAACTTGATTTATAACCAGCTTTTCAGGTTATAATCTCTGTGCTGTAGAGTGTCAGGCTGATAAACAACCCATTTTCAAAAGGGAGTCAGGATCGCTCGACAAACTCGTGTGTCTCCAGAAAAATTAAGGAAAACCCTTTCAATCGTTATGGTTTTTACATGGAACTTTTTGAACTATTGCCTCTATTATTGCAATTTGTTAACATCACAGTTCTTCTCTCTTCTCATATCTCAAAGTCTATATATAATTTGTGTGAAACTGTTTAGAATTATCATTTCTAGTTAGGTATTTATGTATGTATATGTGTCTTGACCATTTATGGTCCTGGATTTTAATGTTTTACAGAGCTTTATTTTCTTTTGTTCTTCACAGAGTTAAATAAGGCCATGTTAGTTTGTATTCTTATTTTAAAAACAGTTGTTATATTTATGCTTATATATCAGAAGGAGTTGTGAATACTAGAGAAATGTGTAATTCCAATCTTCAGCACCTTTCTAGACAAGTTTGTTTCTTGCAATGGGTTAGCCTCTCCAGGTGTCCCTTTAGCTTAAGGAAATAAAATAATTTCTCACTTCCACTCTGAGACAATTACGTAGAATATGCAATTTTGTATAAGATTATTCCACAAAAGCGACTCTCGTTTAATTTAGTAGAGTGACAGCAGTTCACACTATACCTTGACATCTTTGAAGCAAATGTGGGATTTATAGGTAGTTATCAGCCACTGAGTGGTCCTATATTCATTTGAGATGGTGACAGCAGTTTTTGAAAAAGGTATCAGTGTAACTTGTCACTTATTTAATAATGAATTTACCTCCAACTGGTGACGTGTCTACAGCTACATTCAATTTGAACACTTTGTGTTAAATTGCAGAATACATTTGGGATTACTTTGATCACATCACAGAAATGCCATTTGTATACACTTTTAAACAGGATATTTTTTACTGGCAGAATTTGCCACAAATATTACATACATATTGGGTGAGATTTGAAAGAAATACAGTATATATTTGAAATTAGTTTGTATTTTAAGTAGACTTGGCAATTGCTTGTAGAAATTGAAACTAATTTTAGACACTCATATTTATTTGAACTGTTTGTAATTTCAGTGTCTAGGAGAATTGTGAGGTCTGTGGAAATACAATAATAGATCCTTGATGTAATCATCCCGCCTCCCCTCACACAGATATACATTTGGCTTAAAATGTTTCAGACTGATGGCAAAACATATTAAATGTTGAGAAAACAAAGATGCACATGTATAGTATTTAGTGGAAATCATCATATAAATAGCTAAAGCCTTATTAATTGGAAGGTTATATTATTTAAAGCCTTGATTTAGGACAAATATTTCAAAATAAATAAATTTCTCACTTTCCACTACTTAAAGCGAATGTCATCAGAAGGAAATGGGTTTAGTTGAGTACCATACTGTATTCCTGGACCAAATACTTAAGGAATTTTGAATTTTACAAATAAAAAAGGCATACTGAGATTTCTGCCATTAGTCATGAAGAAGTGACAGGAACTGGATTTATAAGTCTCAGTACATTTTAAAGAATTCAGATCATACAGAATACCTTTTCTGACGAAAATGGTAGAAATCAAGGTAGAAATCAACAACAGAAGGATATACAGAAAATTCCCAGATAGTTGGAAATGAAGTAGTTCACCTCTGAATATCCCAAGGGACAAAGAACAAATCAAATGAGTAATTTCAGAATATTCTGAGCTGAATGAAAATTAAAACATGACATATCAAAATTTGAGGGATGAAGCTAAAACAGTGATTAGCTGAAGATATCTTATTAGAGACTATCGGGGGAAACCCCACCCCTGATATTTAACGTGGGTTCTTTTCTATTTCCCTAAGCGTCTTAACTGGCCTGAGAAATAAAGGGAAAGAGTACAAAAGAGAAAAGTTTTAAAACTGGGTGTCTGGGGGAGACATCACATGTTGGCAAGTTCCGTGATGCTCCTCAAGCCGTAAAACCAGCAAGTTTTTATTAGCGATTTTCGGAAGGGGAGGGAGTGCATGAATAGGGTGTGGGTCACAGAGATCACATTCTTCACAGGGTAATAGAATATCATAAAGCAAGTGGAAGCAGGGCGAGATCATAGGACCACAGGATGGGGCGAAATTAAAATTGCTAATGAAGTTTCGGGCACACATTGTCATTGATAACAGCTTATCAGGAGACGGGGTTTGAGAGCAGACAACCTGTCTGACCAGAATTTATTAGGCAGGAATTTCCTTGTCCTAATAAGGCTAGGAGCATTACAGGAGGCCGGGGCTTATTTCATCCCTTCAGCTTCGACTGTAAAAGACGCTGCCCTGATGGGGGCTATTCATAGGCCTACCCTCATGGGGCGCATTCTCTTTCTCAGGGATGTTCGTTGCTGAGAAAAAGAATTCAGCGATATTTCTCCTATTTGCCTTTGACAGAAGAGAAATATGGCTCTGTTCTGTCTGGCTCACTGGCAGTCAGACTCCAAAGTCTTATCTCCCTTGTTCCCTGTTACCCTGTTCTTTTTTCAAGGTGCCCAGGTTTCATATTGTTCGAGCACACATGCTCTACAAACGATTTGTGCAGTTAACACAATCATCACAGGGTCCCGAGGCATACATCATTGTCAGCTTACGCAGATGACGGGATTAAGAGGTTAAAGTAAAGACAGCATAGGAAATCACAAGGGTATTGATTGGGGAAGTGATAAGTGTCCATGAAATCTTCACAGTTTATGTTCAGAGACTGCAGTAAAGACAGGCGTAAGAAATTATAAAAGTATTAATTTGGGGAACTAATGTCCATGAAATCTTCACAATTTGTGTTCTTCTGCCGCGGCTTCAGCTGGTCCCTTCGTTTGGGGTCCCTGACTTCCTGCAACAAGAGACATCTTACCAGACATCTTATTAGAAAAGAAGAATGGTTTTCAATTAATGATAGCAGCTTGCATATCAAGACATTAGAGAATAAAGGGCCCATTAATCTCAAAGCAGAAGTAAGGAAATAATAAAGATAATAGCAGAAATCCATGAACCAAATATCAGAAAAACAATACAGAAAGTTATGGAACCAAAAGCTGCTTCTTGAGAAGATTGGTGCAATTGATGAACTTCTAGGTAAACTAAGCAAGAAAGTAGAGGGAAGACATCTGTTACAAATATAAGGAGTGAAAAAGGGAAACGTCACTACATATTCTATAGACAGTAAAAAGAGAATAGTGGAATATTGTAAACTACAGACAAGTGACTTGAAAGTCACAAGCTATCAAAGCTCACTGATGAAGAAATAGATAACCTGTGGTAGCCCTACATTATATTAAAGGAACTGGAACCCATCCACCGAAAAATTCAACAGCTGAATGTTTTACTTGTAAATCATATTAAGCATTTAAAGAACAAATGATAACAATTCCCTACACATTTGTACAGATACTTAAGAAGTAAAACTTCCCAACTTGTTTTGTGAGCTAAGCATTACCCTGAAATGAAGAGTAGGAAAATACATTTCAAGAAAAGAAAACCACACACCATTATTTCTATGAATTTGGAAGCAAAGAATTGTAGCACATTTTTGAGAAATTAAATCCTGCAATTATATATTAAGGATAATACCTCATAGAGAAGTAGGGCTTACCCAGGAATACAAAATTGGTTTAGCCTTCAAAAATAAATCACTGTAATTCACCATCTCAACAGACTAAAGAAGAAAAACCATATTATCATCTCTGTAGATGAAGAAAAATGATTTGACCAAAGCTAAAATCTCATTTATGGTAAAATCTTGTAGAAACTAGGAAGCAATTTAGTTTTCAAATATGCTTCTCAGCAGAATTCCCCTAATTTCCAAAAAGTTATTACTTCCAACTTTGTTACTGGGAATGTCTCAAAAAACTGCATTAACTTAGGTGCAGTGATAAAGAAACTGATCTCAGGAAATTAAGGGTACTCATGGAAGTAACTTTATGGATTAAAGCTCATAGTTTTTATACTTTTAAAACCTGTTTCTGTAGGGTATATTTGGAACCAGTTTTATTCCCTCTTACCTATTTCTTAGGACTCTTTTTTAGAATATATTCTAGAAGCAGTTCTTTCTATGTCGATTATATTATTCTGGGCAGCAGCTATGTAAAGATACACCCGCATCCCAGACCCCTAGAATTTTACAGTGTTAAGAATGCCAACTATGTAAATTTGGAAGAAAATTTTCATATTTAATATCTAAATTTTATCCATTAGAATTGTTATTACAAGAACTAAATATTATAAGAATGGCTTGCCTGGTTTGTTGCCATGAAACATTTCACTAAGTTTTGTGAATTACGTTATTTTTTAAAGTTTCCTTCTTGTTTTAAATTAAATTGTTAGTGATTGGTAATGTGAGTTGTTTTAATTTTTTCTGGAGATTTTGCTTTAATGAACCATTAAGAATTGAATGCTTGCTTTGTGTAGTAAAAACTTGTCTTTGAGAATCTTATAGTCTTATTGAGAAACAAAAGTAAGATTTCAAAGGACTATTAGGAGGGTGATATATTAGTCTCCTATTAGGATCTGGTCTAATTAGGAAATTAATATAATTAAATTTAAGTATTGTGATTGAATTATATTAAATATAATGTTGGGTAACAAAATAGATATAAAATAAATGAGTATAAAGTAATTTATAAGTACTTTTTATTAAATAAATAATTATTAAATTTCTAATGTTAACAGTTGGATGAGGTTCTAATATTAGTCTGACAATTAAGATTGTCACACCACAGTGACAGTCAGTGGTTCATTGCTCAGTGAAAGGCATTCATTTCAGTAGATGTGGAATTTGAAGGTATCGTTGACTTGGAGGAGTCTGGAAAGACTTCATGGAGGAGTAGAGATTTTTGCTTAAATGGGTTTATTGAGATAAAGCACTTAGAACAGTGCCTGGCATGCAGTGAGCACTCATTGGACGTTGCCTGTTATTGCTCTCAGCAGCAGCAGCTGGGCCTTGCTGAATGGGAAGTATTATAATAAGCAGTCTTGAATGAGGAAGATATTCTGGGCTGAGTAATGACATGATTTGCTGTGAATATGTGGCATTCATCTGAAATTGTGAGCCTATCCTAGGTCTTCTGCCTTTTTTGTGCTGGACTTCTTTGAGTCTCTTAGATGGCACCAACACTCTACTTTCTTCAATTATGAAAGAGTGCTAATTCATCCCAAATCTATATTGGCTAGTTTAATTTTTGGTTACTGTTAAAACGAATATCTATTTGCTAGTAAAAATTTTCTTAATCTTCAATTAAGGTTTTATTTTCCTTCAATAGGAACATCGGAATTTGCCTTTTATGCGTGAGCTGAGGTATCTATTTGCACTTCTTGTTGGTACCAAAAGGAAGTATGTTGATCCATCAAGAGCAGTTGAAATTCTTAAGGATGCTTTCAAATCAAATGACTCACAGCAGGTAGTTTTGTTGCACTTACTTGTTTATTAACCATTTGTATTTTATTTAATCCGAATAATATTAAGCAGCTTTCCCAAGAATATGAGACTTTTTAAGATACGTGATACTGCTTTATTAAAAATAACCATTTAAAACATTTGGGAGACTTACTTTTAAAGAAAAGTGATCTTGAAGGTGTTAAAATAAAGTTTTAATTTATATTATGATTGAAATGAGAACGATGGATAAAATTAAGATTATTTACAAATACATAATTAAACATCTTCACAAATGTGTGATAACAGAGGATCATTATAGTACACATGCTTTTGATATTCCTGTGTTTGCTGGCAGGGAGTACTTTTCTGTAATTACCCAGAAATGGTTTTTGAAATACATTATCTTTGTTATTGTTGCTTTTGTCTTTTATTGTTCATATAGTGTATTGTAGATTTTTATCTATTACCTTAAAAGCATATTGGTAATTTTCTTACAAAATATCTATAAACAAGCCAGTATTTTCACATATAATTGGAAAAATCAGAGAAATTAAAGAAGGAAAACAGAGGAACAAATACAGTGGCAAATAATAGTAAGTGTTCAAAAAGATGGCAGCAAGCATGTAATGGCAGAAGCTTCAAAAAGCCACTAAGCTTTCAGTATTGTTTTTCAAATACATACTTGGATGTGTCTCTGTTTTTTGGATGTATGGAGAGGGCGTTTGGAAGAGGAGGGTCGGAGACTGTCACCATTTTCCTTGTGCTTTTTCTTTCTGTTTTAAATTTAGCTTTTATGGCAAATGTGAATGAACAAAAAGGGCACTCACTCAGAGTTTCTTTTATATGTTGTTTCATTTTTTAAAACATTCTAACAATGCTCCTGTGCCTTTTAGGCTTAGTATCGACTCAGCTTTGTTTTTTACTTGCTCTGTCATGATAACACTAACACAAATCAAAAGAAAGAAAAATAATTTTACAGTTGATCCCAAACCACCATTTTAGGGCATTTGGCATTCCTTCTGGTTCTAAATGCGTTTTACTTTTTTTTTTTTTTTTCTTTTTTAGTATGCATACTATCTTTTCCAGTGACTCTGAATATACAATTAAATTTTTTAAAAAATTACTTCTGTTCTCTGACTTACCTTTCTTTCTGGATGGCTTTTTCCTTGTCTGTCCGTCCGTCCGTCCGTCCTTCCTTCCTTCCTTCCTTCCTTCCTTCCTTCCTTCCTTCCTTCCTTTCCTTCTTTCCCTCCTTCTGTCTCTCTTTCTTTCTCTCTTTTTCTCTCTCTGTCTCTTTCTTTCTTTCTTCTTTCTTTCCTAGAGATTCATGCTGATTTTGGGGTATCTTTTCACTTTTAAAGATGAGGCAGCATAGACTTCATTTGGAGCCATATATGTACATAGGTGGGCTTTTCAGTTACAGTTGAAATGGATACAAATGGCTGTTAAGGCCACAGTATAAATGCTTTTGCTTCAGACTAGCACTGTAGACTAACTTTTGAAATTAGTGATTCTTTTTCTTTAGAGGACTTTTAAGGTGGATGTATATCAATTAAGGTTGATAAGTTTGATTCTCTTCTGTTCCCTAAACACTTGAATTTGAAGTCTACGCTAGTAATTTAGTGAATCTGTAAATGTAAGCATCATGATTTTTTTAAAAGTGAATTTATATTTTCATTGTATCTTCTTCCTAAATATTTCAAATATATCATCTCTTGAAGTGCACAAGAGTCTTTTGGGATACGCTTTGATATGTGATACTGTTAGTTTTTTGTTTTTCTTTTCCATTTTTGTGTTTTTGGAGACATGGTTTTGTTTTGTCACCCAGGCTGGTATACAGTGTCATACAGTGCTATACAGTGGTATGACAAATGGCTTACAGTGTCATACAGTGTCATACAGGTATGACAAATGGCTTACAGTGTCATAAAGTGGTATGACAAATGGCTCACTGCAGCATCAGCCTCCTGGGCTCAAGCCTTCCCCATGCCTCAGTCTCCTAGGTAGCTGAGACCACAGGCACATGCCACCGCGCCTGGCAAATAATTGTATTTTATTTTTATAGAGACAGGATCTCCCTATGTTGCCAGGCCTGGTCTTGAACTCCTGGACTCAAGCTGTCCTCCCTCTTTGGCCTCCCAAAGTGGTAGGATTATAGACGTGAACCACCACACCTGGCCCCAATTGATACTGTCAGTTTTAATCATACCTTTAATTGTTTCAGCTTAAAACTAAAAATCAGTGAAGACTTCATTATTTTTTTTTCTCTTGATGGATGCAGGTAGAATTTTTATTTTATAATTGTCAATTTTAGATTGATTTCTAAGGAAGATAGGGATTAACTTCTGAAAAATATTGTGATAGCTAGGAAACCTTCTTATTTTTTGTTAGATATAACCTTTAAGTGAATTAAAGTTATACAAAAGTGTGAAAAGTTGTTTTAAGATGTTACAGTAGTTCCTGAGGATAGTCGTAACAAATTGCAACGAACGGAGTGGTTAAAAACAAAAGATTATTCTCCACCAGTTCTAGAAGGCAGAGGTCTAGAATAAAGGTGTTGGCAGGGCCCCACTTCCTCCAGTGGCTCTAGGGGAGAATCCTTCTTTGCTTCCACCGTATTCTGGTGGCTGTTGGTGTTCCTTGGCTTGAGGCAGCATAGCTCCAATCCCTGTCTCCCTTTTGCTTCCACCGTATTCTGGTGGCTGTTGGTGTTCCTTGGCTTGAGGCAGCATAGCTCCAATCCCTGTCTCCCTCTTCATATGGCTTTCCCTCATGTGTCTGTCTGTCTTCTGGTTTTCTGTTTCTTATAAGAACACTCACCGTTGGATTTAGCCCCAGCCCTAATCCAGGCTGATCTCATCTCAAGATCCTTACCTTAATTATATTGACAAAGATCGTTATTCCAAATAGTGTCACCTTTTGAGGGTCTAGGTGGACATACATCTTTGCGGGCTACTATTCAACCCACCGTAGGTATTATGAATGTTTATGGCTGGATTTTTGTGTTGCGTTTAGTCCTGTTTAATTCTGCAGCTTTGGAGCAATTTACTTAAGCTTTCCAGACTTTAGTTTCAACATTTTTTTAAGGTTAATAAGTTGGCCTACATGCTCTTTAAGAAACTTCTGGCTGAAAAAATGTATGATAGTAAGTTTGTTTTATATTTGGGGCTATTTTGATAAGGGCAAATTGCTTACTACTGATTCATCTATCTTTAAGCAGCCTTAGTAGAGTTGATTTATTGCTTTTTCCCTTGTGTTCTATTTATTATTTTCTGTGTTCTAACTCACGTTATTGAAAGAATTCTGGTAGTTGATAACAGAACTGCTACAACCTATTCCTGTTTTTCTATGTTGGAAGAGTAGAGATCAAAGGAATGGTGAAAGGTGATAAATGAGCTGGTTCTGAATGATAGTAAAGGTAGATATGGCTTGAAAAGTTGTGTGTGTAAGTTGAATTAAGAAAATGAATTGTGGAAAGAGACTAGTCTTCCTTGTAAGAGAGAAGCCAGTAATAATTCTTTATAAAATAAAGAACTGTTTGGTAAGATGATTTCTTCATTTTATAAAGATTCATTGCAGAGCTCTGCAGGTGGTGAGTAATGATTAGTTTTAAAAAATCTCATTTGTAAGTTTGGTTTTTGGTGTGTGTGTTTGTGTGTGTGTGTGTGTGTGTGTGTATTTTAGAGTGAACCCAATCATTGAATATCAATATAATGCTTGGTTTTTCAAATATATCCTGGTTAAATGATAAAAGTTTCTTGCATTTTGTGTGAAACATTTCACTTGTTATCTTTGCAAGAAGTTAGTGATTATATATTTCAGTAACTGGCTCTAGGTTTGATGTTATAACATCTAGTATTTTTTTTTAGTAGGCTCAAATATCAACAGGCTTTTTTCTTTTCACAGCAAGATGTGAGTGAGTTTACACACAAATTATTAGATTGGTTAGAAGATGCCTTCCAAATGAAAGCTGAAGAGGAGACGTAAGTTACCATGAAGTTTAGCAGTGGGGTTTTAGGAATTCATTAGATAGCATGTATTTAATGTCAATGGAGAAATAAGAAATCAAGACAGACTTATGGGAATCCCAATATTTTCTGTATTATTGACAAGCTGTTTGGAATTTGCAGGCACAAATAATGATCTAACCAAAAAAATCTAAAAAGTGGTCCCTGAAAGAGCTAGTCTTACATGCCCAGTTCCTTTTCTTAGATTCAGTAATCACTTTTCATGGGGAGGAATGAATTTGCGGTGGAGAAAGATGTCAGGAATGTGAATTGTGACAAAATCCTTTTATGTAGAAGCATGAAGACAGGGATATGAAGTAGCAGTGCATGTGAACAAGTGGCTCTGTTCATCTGTTCACTCAGGGCCCCAAGGTCACCTAGGTGTCTGGGATCTTGCTGGCAGTGAAAATTATACTGTGTCTCCAAGTTTCTGCCCAGAAGTGACACATATCACTTCTGCTCACATTTTGTTGGACAGAGCTATGTGGCCTAACTTCAAAATGAGTAGGAATTTCTCACACTAATGAGGATGGTGGCTATGAAAAAAACAACCCTCCAACCCCCACTACCCCAAGAACATAACAAGGGTTGGCAAGGATGTGGAGAAATTGAAAAACCCTTGTGCTGTATTGATGAGGATATAAAATGGTACAGCCACTGTGGAAAACAGTATGGGGGTTTCTTAAAAGATTAAAAATATAATCACCATATGTCCCAGCAATTCTACTTCTTGGTGTCTATCCAAAAGAATTGAAAGCAGGGTTTCAAAGAGATATTTGTACACCTGTGTTCATAGCAACATTATTCACAATAGCCAAAAGGTGGAAGTATACCAAATGTCCATTGATAGGTGAATGGATAAACAAAATGTTCTATATATATGTACAGTGGAATATTGTTCATCCTGAAAAGCACAGAAGTTCTGACACATGCTGTAACATGACCCCTTGAAGATACTATGCCCAGTGAAATAAGCCAGTCACAAAAGGACAAATACTATAAATCACTTATGTGAGGTATCGAGAGTTATCAAACACGTAGCAACAGAAAGTAGAATGGTGGTTGCCAGAGGCTGGGGGGAGGGGGAAATGGGGAGTTGTTTAATGCATATAGAGTTTCAGTTTTGCAAGAGGAAAAGAATTCTGAGATTGGTTGCACAACAGTGTGAATCTACTTAACACTACCGAACTGTGCAGTTAAAGGGTTATGTGCATTTTATTCACAGTTTTAAGAAGTGAGTAGGACAGTGTATCTTACCATGCACCTGAACGTGAAGGGCCAGAATTTTTTTTCAGTAGCACTAAAGACTACTACACTACCTACTGGGGTTCTTGTAAGAATTAAGAGAAGTACTTATCAACATTATTCTAAGGATTAAATGATGACCTATTTATCAAGAGAGATGGTATCCCCTCCCTTTTTAAACAATACTTAACAAATCAATTAATATAAACACAAATTAATACAGAAAAATCTGTATACAACTGTAGATACAATGCATTTCTATATGGTAAGGCCAAGATGAACTTTGTCTTTTTAGGTCACACAAACCATAAAAAGACAGTTTAAAATTATCAATTTGTTTACTTCAAACAGAAAAGAAAAAAATGAATTTTTATATTAAATGACTTGGAAACTATGTAAACGACTAATTCTACCAGCAGTGTGAAACTTCACAAAAGGATGGAGTAGCTCTTTAGCTACTCTGGGTCAAAAACTGGTACCTTGTTCCCTCCCTGGTGAGGTTGTTGTTTTTGGGTTATTTGAACTCTTCCATGTAAATACAGGAAATAACTTAGCAAAATGTTGTAGAAATCTATTCTGATTAAAAGTGGCTTTTCTTCCTTCCCATGTCCAAATTAACATGCACTACACAGAGTAAGAGATTGAAATGTATAATGATGATAGAAAGAGCAGGCACTTTGTGCACAGACCGTGTCAATTTCTCTTCCAAGTTCATACATGTAGTGCTCATTTTAACTCTTATGAGAATCCTATGAGTGCAACTATCATCATTATCCTCAGTTGACAGGTGAAGAAACGGGAGAATAAATTTAAGTACCTTGCTCAAGATGACGCTGTAAATAACAGAGCTCAGTGCAAGTGCATGATAGCCACAGACGTGTTTTTGTCTTGTCATACGCTATGGTTCTTTTAATATTTTCTCTATAGGTCCAAAAATTGTAATTACATTTGTATTTTTTAACACTCTTTAGGGATGAAGAGAAGCCAAAGAACCCCATGGTAGAGTTGTTCTATGGAAGATTCCTAGCCGTGGGAGTACTTGAAGGTATAGTTACACATTTACTTTTTATTACAAGTGAAGAGAGATTATTATTCATTCGTTCATTTGTCTCGATAGTTACTATTATTTTAGTGGACTTTGATATATTCTGTCTAGTAATTTTTGTTGGATTGCTACTGTTACTCGCATATGGCACATGAATGAATGAAAAGGAATGTGTAAAGTGCATTATCACATACTAATTGATACTTTATTTTATCCTCATGTTTTTTCCAGTGAGAGGGCTTCTGTGATACTGTTACATTGGAATCAGGGATTAATGGGACAGTTGGGAGATCCTTTGAAGATAATATTGGAGTTAAATACTGGGCTTGCTATGATGCTCACTTTCTTTTTCACGTTGAAAGCTGAATTTAGCAACTTAGCATAGTCAGGGTGGTATAGAGTTCTCACTTTTTGAGTGATTTTAAATGAAGATATTAATTTTCAGGAAAAAATTATACTCTCTCTTTTGAAAAATCAGTTAAGAGTGATACTACTCCATTTAAGCTAAATACCTGTTTCATAAAATGTGGCCTAACTAGTTTCTGTTTGGTTTTCCTAACAAGGCAGGAGACTCTCTTTAAATGTAACTTCATGTAATAATATTAGTCCCAAAGCATAAACTTGAAAAATTGTTTTTCTCAGATCACCCAATGCATCAACTTTTGAAAGTTACCTGTTTCCAGATCAGCTAAAGTGTAAAATTTGAAAAAATGTTTTTTCTTCACGACCTTAAGTAGTGGATTCCCTGAAATTTTGTTTGAACATAGGTAGTTTGGGATTCAGAAAAAGGCAGATACGAACTCAGATGTTGACCCTTTAAAAAGTCTTAATGAAGCGTTCATACATTTCTGTTTGTTTCAAATGGTAACAGCTTATATATAAGTTGTTATATATATACACATATATATGAGTTAATATATATGTTTATATATAGAAGTAGAATATTTTACATAGTACATTTACGTTGGGTCATTCATCTTAATCATTCTGATTTGATTTGAAGTAGAACACTGTATCTCATACAGCTAGTATGTCTGATCAGGTCGTGACTAGGCACTGTTTATAATACCCTGCAGGAGCATTTCTACCTGTATTATATTGATTCCTAAAATTGATTGTTATTAAAATACTTAATTTGTCGGCTGGGCGTGGTGGCTCATGCATGTAATCTCAGCACTTTGGGAGGCCGAGGCGGGCTGATCACGAGGTCAGCAGATCGAGACCATCCTGGCTAACATGGTGAAACCCCGTCTCTACTAAAAATACAATTTCCTGCCTCTGTGGGTACTTCTAAGAAAAGTTGTATTTATAGTCTCTTTTTGCATATAAAGGTAGCAGAACCTTAGGACTTTGTTTAGGCCCATTTTTTCTTCCTGTCTCATCCCCTAGACATCTCATTCACTGCCTTAATTTCCTGCTGTCAATAAGCCAGCAATTCTGTCTTTATTCCAGAATATTAATCTTAGTTATAGACTCATATTCAACTCTCTTCTCAAATTGAAATCTCGTGGGTCATAATGAACCAGTGATTTCCACTGCTACCTCAAAACTAAAGAAAAAAAAATCCTCTGTTCTTACTTAAATGGTGCAATTTTCAGTCCATAATCTGCCAGGCATGATGGTTCATGCCTGTAATCCCAGCACTTTGGGAGGCTGAAGCAGATGGATCACTTGAGGTCAGGAGTTTGAGACCAGCCTGGCCAACATGGTGAAACCCGTCTCTACTGAAAATGCAAAAATTAGTCAGCTGTGGTGGTGGACGCCTGTAATCCCAGCTACTAGAGACGCTGAGGCAGGAGAATTGCTGGAACTCGGGAGGCAGAGTTTGCAGTGAGCAGGGATCATACCACTGAGCTCCAGACTGGGTGACAGAGCGAGGCTCTGTCTCAAAAAATAAAATAAATAATAGTAATCATCATCATCATCATCATCTAGTTGTTCAAAAAATAAAATAAATAGTAATCATCATCATCATCTAGTTGTTCATGCCAGAATTCTGTCATTCTTGATATTTTCCTTCTTATCTGTCTCTTATCCTTCTTACAAACCCCTCAGTCATGTCCTGTTGGTGCTCTTCCTTGTATATATGTATAAATGTATATATTATCTCTTTTAACAATCTTAATCCATGCTACCTTTATTTCTGGATGGATTCTGCAATAGTCTTTTAACAGATGACCACCTAGTTCACACAGGGACTTTAAAGGTGTTTCAGTTTTCATGCTGCTGATAAAGACATACCTGAGACTGGGCAATTTACCAAAGAAAGAGGTTTAATGGACTCACAGTGTCACATGGCTGGGGAGGCCTAACAATCATGGCAGAAGGTGAAGAGCATGTCTCATTTGGTGGCAGACAAGAGAAGAGAACAAGAGCCAAGCCAAAGGGGAAACCCCTTATAAAACCATCAGATCTCATGAGGCTTATTCACTACCACGAGAACTGTATGGGGGAAACTGCCCCCATGATTCAGTTATCTCCTGCTGAATCCCTCCCACAATACAGGAGAATTATGGGAGCTACAATTTAAGATGAGATTTGAGTGGGGACACAGCCAAACCATATCAGTGACTGCATTATATGCAGAACGTGGTGTGGAAAAAAAATTCTTAATAGGAGCACAAGACCTTGTATTTTAACTCCCTGTCTGACTTTTCATTGTGATCTCTCCCTTGATTCCCCAAGCTACACTAATCTTCTGTTAGTTCCTAAACATATCAACTTCCTTACTGCCTTAAAGTCTTTATCATGCTGTTCCATGGCCAAGAATACGCTATAATCCCCCAGCACTCTGGCATGGCTAACTCCCACTCATTATTCAAGTCTGAGCTTAAATGTCCTTTGCCATGAAAGTCTTCCCTGCTCTCCCCACCACCCCCAAGACTAAGTTCCCATTTTTATACCTCTCACAGCACTGTGTCTCATCACAACTTTCTTTTTATAACAGTTGTAATAATAATTATTTGTTTATAAATATACTTGAAGTTAATGGGTATAATGTTTTTCAAATGAGGCTGAGAATTTTCTCAGCTCAGGGACCATATCTCTCTTGTTCACTGCTGTATATATTCCCAGTGTTCAGTATGGTATCTTGCCCTTAGAAAATGCTTCTTGTGAGAAAAAATATACATACACATGTGTGCATTTAAATATATGTGGATGTGTAATATCTATGGCTGGGTATAAATGTACATTTGCGCATGTGTATAAACCAACAGGAAAATTACACTAACACTTCTCAGGAATGAAATCAGTCAGTGTTACAATTTTCAGGTTCAGCTGAGAATCCTTATGTACTCTTAATTTTAGTAGCCAGAGGGCCATATTGAGGATTATTAATTTTCTCCCTTCTTATAGGTAAAAAATTTGAAAACACTGAAATGTTTGGTCAGTACCCACTTCAGGTCAATGGGTTCAAAGATCTGCATGAGTGCCTAGAAGCTGCGATGATTGAAGGAGAAATTGAGTCTTTACATTCAGAGAATTCAGGAAAATCAGGCCAAGAGGTGAGTTTAACGTTTTCATTGTCCACTTTCTTCCCTAGGTCTTTCTTACAATGCCATAAAGCACAATGTAAGGTTCTAATTATATAGCTACCTAATAATTGAGAGAGAATACTCAGAGAGTATATTTGGATTTAATTGGTAATTTAGACATTCAAGAAACCTGCCCAGTCAATATGACCTATAATCTATGTTAAATTCTCACTTAAATAATTTATCTCAGAATTTTCAGTTAAAGTCTTTCTAGGACATTTTTCAGTCTTTTTAGACCTTTCAATCAAGGTACCAGCCATTAGCAGCATGCTAGTTCTTGGATATATTTAAAGAAAAAAAATCCTGATATTACAGTGGATTTTAAAACAGATATATGCTACTTATATCAACTGTTACTGGAATTTGTCCACGACGCCCAGATTCCTTTTCTTGTAAAATTGCTATGTGATTGCATAAGGTCAGATGGAAGAACTTCCCTTCTCAAGGAAGAAATAATTTTTATAAAATATTGTTAACTTATATGTCTACCTCAACTAGTTTCTTTCTTTCCACCCATCTCTGTTTCTTTATCCATCTCTGTAGCTGCATCTGTGTAGCCGTTCATCCGTGCATTCATCTGTCAGGGAGTTTTGGCACTGTAATAGTAAGCAAAGGACGTATCATGTGCTTCTCCAATCAGTCATTGTTAAGCAATTGCTGATAGTTGTCTAGCTGTTAAGCTCCATGAATGTGGGTAGAGGCTTTATCTGTGTCATTCATTACTATATCCCTAGTGGTAGTATGGTGGCTGCATACATAATATTTATTGAATGAATGAATGAAATGTCTTGGTACTTATCAAACAAGTTTCTGAGGTCTTTATACTGAATAGGTGCTTAATAAATATTAAGTGATACGATGTCTCTGTGTTTAGCTAAAAGGAGACTTTGTTCTTGTGTTTTTGAGAATAAATTGCTTTTATCTAAATTTTAATTTTTTTTTTTCTTAAAGATGCAGTTAACCCTTTCCTGTTCCAGATGCATACTCATTTTTCCCTCTTCCCTGCACATACATAAACAAACAAAAATATGCTTTTCCTCTTAAGAGGAAGAGACGTATTTGAAATAGCCTTCCTCTCTACGTCATAGATCATCTATTTCAGTGATTCTCAGTAGAGAATAGCCACACTTCAAAGTTATCAAAGCAGAGTGTAGCATAGGGATGTGGTATATGGGCACAAGAGCTGCACAACTAATTCTGATATAAACCTCTAAATAAGAATGTTTAAATTCAGCTTATTTTATTGATTGGGAAACAGATCTCTAAGACTGGGACTTTAGCAATATCCCACAATGGAATAAGAAAGCAAACTCTTAAAATCCGATCTATTTGGTGTTAAATAAAAGGATGACTGGAGTAGTGGGGCAGGGATGGTACTTTTTTTATATTGTCAGAGTAGCTGAAATACACTATGGTGTATTAGTAATCTTTCTCACATATTCCCAGCTTTTAAAAATTTTTTATTCTACACATAATCAAAATTTTATGGTTTATTTAAAATATCTTATATTTGTCCTCCATCTTTTTATATTGGTTTCATACTCTGAATGCCCCTATGTTGCAATATAAATGTTCTGCCTAGGTTTTTTCTTCTAGCCTAGGGAATATAATGATTTATGATGTTCTGTGTATTTAGCAGTTTCTAATCTCCACTACTGTGGCAAATTTGATTGCCTGTGATTCCTGTTACCATTTTTCTAGATTTGCTGGAGACTATAGTTTCAATAATAATTCAGCTTGGTTTAAGAGACTATCATTGACTAAAGTATAATATCAGTTTTTAAAAAATAACATTTAAATTATAGTCTTATTATATCCTTTAGAAAAACTATTCTTGAATCTCTAAAAGCTAGTAAGTAACATTATAGACTATTTCTAAATTGGCATAATGCCTGATAACAATAGCTTTTTCCTCAATCTATTATTTACTAAAAATTGTCAATTTTATTTTGACCCAGAAAACATCTCATTTGCTGAAATAGCTGTGGCCAACTAATATAGGAAGACCTCCAGTCTTCCCAGTTAAAACATCCAGTTGGCTATAAGAGTTTAAATTTTGGGGGAGTGATATACTAAGAGACAACTGAGTAAGTTAAACATGATTATATCCAAAATAACTACTTAAATTTTTTTTAAATGATACATTTTAACATTTAAATGGTATGCAATTTGTAGATGAGTCAGACTCTCCAGGAAACATGGAGATATTTTTTGATTGCCTATTGGAGGAAAAAAATTTCAGATAGTAAATACTTCACTTGTAGTGTGAGTATTCGCTACTACCAGTGTGTGTTGCATGTTCTTTTAGACTGCCGCTATGCACATGTAAGTATTTGCATCTGTCCATACTGCCCCAAGAGTTGCATTTTTCACTCAGCAGTATATCATGAGCATGCTTCTAAGTTAGTGTACAGCTTTACGTCAGTGTTTTTAAAATCTGCATAGTGTTACATAGTCTGTATTTATAAAATTAAATTGATTTAATTCTCTTGTAAGGCAGTAACTAAGAAAAAGAATTATTTTGAAGAATGTCTTTACCCTTGAGCACTTAGGAATGAAGTATAGTTAGAAGTAGGATCTTTGGGTCACAGGGCATACTCATTTAAATGTGTTGGTACTGCCACATTTCCCTTCACAAAGTTATACCAAGTTATAATAATAAGTGCTAGAAGGAGCTTTTACAAAGTTTTAAAAACAAAATTAGCGAAACAGTCGACTGACATGTACCATATTAGACATCTCTAGAGGTTATGTATATTTAAAACTTTTCTTTTAAAATAAAAGGGCAAATGAGTGAAGGCAATTAAATGACTGGAGCTAATTTTTTAACTGGAATAAACAGTTTTTGCTTCTTGTGCACAGTTTACATCCTGGCTTGGTTTGGTCTTCTGTAGGGAATTTGAAATGATAGGTATGTTTTTTCTGTTTTTTTTTTTTTTTTCCTCCACATTTGTGTAATCCTCTCATAAAAGCAAGGTATCTTATACACTTTAATGGAAAAAACAGGTATTTAAACTCATAAAAATGACATACTCTTTAGGAACTATTTTTGTTAACGGTGAGATTTCTAGAATTGTGATGAATTTAGAAGCACTTATGCTGACAATACTGATTATGTAAGTTCTTTATTCACTAACTGCAGAAATCTGTTCCTCCTGTAGTTTATCTAGTAAAAGAATGTTTAGAGATATGGAGAATGACCTCTGTCTCACAAGCATGGCATACTAGTTAGGTTATAGAGAAGTAGATATAGTTTTTTGTTGAATGGAAATAGTATTTTTTTGAAAGAAAAATTTCTGTTTTGTATTAGTTAAAATTCAAATTATGTACTGCTATACTACAATCCAAATATTGCAGAGCTAGACATACCATTAATATTTTAAAACATGAATTTACAGAATGTCTGGTTATCTCATCTTGTCCCCATCAGCTTTAGAATGAGAAAGTGAAATCCTTCCACTCTTGTAGTAGGAAAAACCTGCCATCGCTGATAGAGGAAAATGCATTCATAACAGAGACATATTACATAACATTTTTGAGCATCCTTTTGTAAGGTATGGAAGCTATTTATATTTCCTGGACTTTTCATGGTCTACAGAAAAGTATACCCCAATTTGGGTCATTTCATTTCTTGTGGCCATTGTAGATTTCCATGAATTAAAATATGTAACTAATTTTAATGGTGACATTTAAATATTTAAAGTATTGCAATAAAATATGAAAGTGATAGTTCTTGAAATCTACTTTCTTGTTTGAGTATCATAAAATGGAACAGAGAATATTATCCTAAAGAATCAAAAGTGTTCTTTGTGATATGTCTGGGGTAATGTTTTAATTCTTAATAATAATTTTATCAAAAATTCTTGCCAGTTACATGTGAGATGAAAATGAGTAAGCAAACTTGGCTCATCAAATTTTAAAACTTGAGATGTTTCTGATATTTTTCATAACTTTATTTAATCCGTTTCAGGTATTATCCGTATAAAACAAATTCCTTAAACCTTAGCTTTCAGTGAAAGATAACCATCCAGCTCAGGAAACCTCAGTTCAAGTAATTATTATCATTTTGAAAGAGAAATAGTATTGAATACCATTTGCTTTTATTTGCTTTAGAGAAAAGTAGCAACTTTCCAGATCCTTGTCAAATTCACTTTGCCAGGTGTGTGCCAATCATGCTTTTTTTGGATGTTCAAATTTATATTTAGTATATTCTTAACTTATTGACAGATGTGTGGTGGCATTTTATGACACTTGAAATTATCACACAATAGAATATGCAGCAGTTTCGCATATTGCACAGTTTATAATAAGCACTTCAGAAATACTTATTTTATACTTCTGTTATAGGTTGATTTACCAGTTTGTTACCTTTTCTTTCTCTTTAAATACATATGCTTATGTATAACTTAAGGTTGTATATGAAAATAATTTTCTTTTAAAAATGTTGAATTTCATGCTTAATTGAACAGTTACTAAAACATATATGGGGATTAGGGGCTGCAGTTAGGGGAAGGAAATTATAGCTGTACTCACATAATTTGGCTCATAGCAATGAGACATTCAATTCTTTAAACGCTAGTTATTTTAAAAGATTTTAAATAAGTTACTCTTTAAGTACTAACTTTTTGTTAGTGATATGTCTTTTTCATAAATTAGTATAAAATCCAGCAGAGGAGCTAAAGTTAAAACAGGAAAATACCATTTTTTCATTTTTAGTATCAGAGTTGTGATGATTTATGATATAAATTTTTTTTTGAGTACTCCCTCTCTTACAAGTTACTTTGTCACAGGATTTTGATGCTGTGGTTAAGTATAAGTACCATTCAACAACATATTGAAGAAGACAGAAGACTTGAGCTACTAAGTCATGGTTTTAACCAGTGTCTTTTTCTCTGAGCTAGAAATTCTAATGCAAAGAATTATTTTCGAAGGATAGTTGTGAGATTTCTTTTTTTCCTCATCATGTATTATATCCACTCTTGGAATTTTCAAGAGGTGTGGAAAACTTTTAGAAAGAGGTTGAGTTTTAATTAAATTGTGTACCCAATTACTTGTCAGGTCAGCATTGTGGTGATACATATAAAAATGTCAGTGCCCACATCCTATGCCTAAGATTGCAATGAAGAAAACAAAGGTGGTATTAAAGTTTTTGTTATTGTTTTATTTCCTTTCAGCATTGGTTTACTGAATTACCACCTGTGTTAACATTTGAATTGTCAAGATTTGAATTTAATCAGGCATTGGGAAGACCAGAAAAAATTCACAACAAATTAGAATTTCCCCAAGTTTTATATTTGGACAGGTATGGTTTGATATACTGCATGACTTAGTTTGAAACAGTTTAGTAAGTGATAAAATGTTGTATAGAGGAAAATTCTAATTTTCTTAGAATTAATTTTTACTTTTGTATGATATACCTAAAGCCATTTGTCAAGGTAAATGTCACTTTGTATTAGAAAAGTATAGTTGTTGGGAATAATGTTATAAGGAAATTTAAAGATGATTAATTTTGTAGTCTTAAAATTCAGAATTTAAAAAAATACCATTTTGTATTATCTACCTTATATCTTACACAATTTTGAATGAATTGATGCTTCGTGGTGATGTCTATACTGAATATTTTATCTATCTTTCTGTCTTCCTGTCTTTCTTTCTTTTGTTTTTTTCTGTTTGTCTGTCTTTCTGTCTTTCCTTTTTTTGTTGTTCTTTTTTGTTGAGACAGAGTCTTGCTCTGTCACCCAGGCTGGAGTGCAGTGATGCGATCTGGGCTCACTGCAACCATCATCTCCTGGGTTCAAGTGATTCTCCTGTCTCAGCCTCCCGAGTAGCTGGGAGTACAGGCACCTGCCATCAAGCCTGGCTAATTTTTGTATTTTAGTAGAGACGAGATTTCACCATGTTGGCCAGGCTGGTCTTGAACTCCTGACCTCAGGTGATCCTCCCGCATTGGCCTCCCAAAGTGCTAGGCCGGGCATACTGGCATCTGGCCATATTGCATCTACTTTCATGATATTCAGAAATGCTAATGATTGCTTTTTTCTGATAGATACATGCACAGAAACAGAGAAATAACGAGAATTAAGAGGGAAGAGATCAAGAGACTGAAAGATTACCTCACAGTATTACAACAAAGGCTTGAAAGGTATTTTAACTTTTATGAAATTAGGAGATAATTATCAGAAACCATGTATTTGGTGACTAGATTATTCATTTCAAATTTGCTTTGAATGATTTATAATTTTAGGAGTAGTTAATATTGTGTGAATAGTTTTGAGTTTTGCTTGAAACTGAAAATCTGTGGTTGACTTTAATTATTCTAGTGGTTAAAATTAAATAGTTCATTGTCAACAGGTAAGGTTCCTACTGCTGAAAATTGATATAAAGTTAAATGAATATAGTTTTGACCTTTCTTTTTGCATGAAACTAAAGATTACTCTGGAGATTTTCATTATAATGAATGGTACCTGAGTTTTTCTCCTTAAAACTGGATACAAACTCAGCTGCCTACCAGGCCTTCTCAGCAGCTTCATAAAGGAGGAAATTGTGTCAGGTATAAAATGGTATGTGCTGGAAGTCTAGAGAGCAATCTGTGTGTACAGGGAATGAATGCCATTCCAATACCAATGGATGGTGCCGTGTGTGTGTGGCCTCACTGTTGTTTATTGATTTGGATCATTTCTAAAAGAAGTCGGAATCTAGACTGAGAAATGTTCTATAGGCAAGACAGAACTGTAAAGGCTGAAATGTCACTTAAGTCATTTCAGTTTGCAAACCCCGATCTACTCTGTATTCCCGTATTTTAGGAATTTTCAAATTAGTAGTCTAAAACTTCTTATATCAAATAATATATCGTATTTTAGTGATTTTTATTCTTAAAATGCACGAATAATCATATTGAAAAATGATTAGTGGTAAAAGATAGGAGGATAGTACTTGTCACTGTCTTGATCATGAGACCAGATGCCAGATCTCAAACTAAAAACAGTCGCAGGAGATGTCAGTTTTCATCCTATTCAGTTACAATTTAGAACAGCATTTACAAATTATAACAGTATATGCTCACATTCAGTCCCAATCAGCCTTGGTTTCCTGTCTTTGGAGAACATTTAATATGTTTTTCTTAAATGTATATTCAGTTTTACCATCTTCATTTTAAAGCTAATGAATGTTATTGCTGAGGAAGTTTTATTGAAGTATCATATCATGTTTTATAATAATAATAAAAACCCAAATATGCTGTATATAGAAATAAAAGCATTGTACATTTTATGATTAACAGATACTTAAGCTATGGTTCGGGTCCCAAACGATTTCCCTTGGTAGATGTTCTTCAGTATGCATTGGAATTTGCCTCAAGTAAACCTGTTTGCACTTCTCCTGTTGACGATATTGATGCTAGTTCCCCACCTAGTGGTTCCATACCATCACAGACATTACCAAGGTAAAAAGTAATCTCGATGCAAGAGACAGTTGTTACCTTTATTACATAATAATGTAACTGCTGCCTCTAAAGATGGTTTTTATGAAATGTATGCTTTGATTTACTTTAATGAACTCTTAAGAGTAGATTCACTTAGAAGATTGTATGTCCTCTGGGAGTTTTTTTTGTTATTTCAGTGGATTTTATGGTCATGGATTAAATTTTTAATCACATTTTTTTCAGTTCAGAATTATACTTTAGCATGTTTTGGTATGTACATATATAAAATTCAGCATTTTATGATCCATAAAAATAGCACTGTCAAATTTGAATTTGTTTCTGTAATGTAAGCTGATAAGCCAGGGAAAATAATATAATCATGCATAAGATTTTGTTGTTTTTTAAAAATAAATATGATTAAGCCGTTTTTACTCTAAAGCTACAACTTCATCTTATAATAATTTAGTTCTTATGTATTAAAAATCTCATTTGGATATTAGATCAATCCACATATTTCTTTGTTAAGATTTTTCCTTTTAGATTATAAGCCAATTTAATACTGTGGGTTTGGCACTATCTTAGTTGAGAGCTTCAGCTTGAAAGGTTAATAACAAATACTCTATGCTTTAATACAGCACAACAGAACAACAGGGAGCCCCATCTTCAGAACTGCCAAGCACGTCGCCTTCATCAGTTGCTGCCGTTTCATCGAGATCAGTGATACACAAACCATTTACTCAGTCCCGGATACCTCCAGATTTGCCCATGCATCCGGCACCAAGGCACATAACGGAGGAAGAACTTTCTGTGCTGGAAAGTTGTTTACATCGCTGGAGGACAGAAATAGAAAATGACACTAGAGGTAAGAAGTGTCTCATAGCATGGTTACTGTCACCTCAGATGGATATGTATAATGTTAATATTGAGAAGGGAAATCACGTCTGGGTTTTATATTTAAAGATTACAGTCATTTTTCTTTTCCAGAAAGGGTTTTATGTAAGATAAACTAGTCTGGCTCCCCAGTTTTATAATCTCAGTATCAGGTTCACAAGGACCAAAAGATTTTCCCTGGATTGCTTAGCTGATTAATGACACAGCAGATGGCCTGATTTTCTAGTTTACTGCTCTAAATTTATATCAAACTGGTATTCACAGTTACTCCATTGGAGAAATGTCATACAACATCAATGTTTGTACGTATCAATTGGGTACTAAATCTAAGTTTGCACAGGGAGTTCCAGTGATAAAAAAATTTTCTTTAGGCTTAACAATTAGAAATGTGAATTTTAATTTTTAATAGCTCTAACAGATTTCTAAATATCTATGATCCCATTATAGTCTGTAACAGAGCAGCAAAATAAGAAAAATAAGGACAGTGCTCTGTGTGGGGTATGTGCGCTTGTGTGCCTGTGTGTGTGTGTGTGTGTGTGTGTGTGTGTGTGTGTGTGTGTGTGTCAAGTTGCCATCTGTCCTTTCTTGGAAGGAACTCTCTTTTATGCTTTTGTATTCTGTTTTTTCTTTTTTTCAGAATAAGTTATTCTGAACTTTTCTCTTTCCTACTTTGCTGTTGTTATAGTGTACTTTAAAAAAATGGATTATGGTAGATACTATTACACTTTTTTCTTTAAATGTGAAAATATAATTCCCTGTTATTCCCCAATTTTATGCTAATTTATTGGTTTATGAAAAAAATGAACTACTTATGTGACATGGTTGGAATTATATTGAACAATATTGATTGTTGGATATTATTTGACCAACTTAACTCTTTATAGACAATATTTGAAAAAGAACGGCCCTAATTTAGTAAGAAATACATAAGGTATGATGGTGACTAATAGCATTAGTAGCTGTCAAGATTTTCCTTAGTATTTTTCATATAAGAAGGAATTTTTGAAAATATTTGAACATATTAACATGTTGATGAAGCACTGTATTAGGTGTTGGGTAATTTTGTACTCCTCATGGCAGGTTGTTTCTAAAAGATTACATTCAGAGGCGTGGAAGCTAGGAAGCTTTTGACACCTAGGTCGTGGCACTGAGGGAGGGAAGAAGTGAATGTACTTAAAATACTCTTTGGAGACAACGGACAGATGTGGGTCATTGGCTAGAGGTGAGAGAGGGAGGAATCAAATGAATCTCTTAGTTCATAATGGTATGAATAACCAAATAGAATGTATTTTGGAAAAAAGGTAAACCAGTGGGCAAAGAGGTTCCCCACTCAGGGGAGGAAAGAGAAATATGATGAGTTCTCTTTTGTCCGGTTTAAGTTTGAGAGCTTTTTTGAGACGCAGTCTCCCTCTGTCACCAGGCTGGAGTGCAGTGGCACGAACTCGGCTCACTGCAGCCTCTGCCTCCTGGGTTCAAGCAATTCTCCTGCCTCAGCCTCCCGAGTAGCTAGGACTACAGTCGTGTGCCACCACACCCAACTAATTTTTGTATTTTTAGTAGAGAGAGGGTTTCACCGTGTTGGCTAGGGTGGTCTTGATCTCTTGACCTTGTGATTCTCCCACCTCAGCCTCCCAAAGTGCTGGGATTACAGGCATGAGCCACCATGCCCATCTGATAAAGTTTTTATATGTAATACTATGGATCAGGAAAGAAGGTTTTCCTCAGGATATTTTTTTTCTTTTTCATCCCTATTGATGTTAGCAGTTAGCAATATTTTGTAAACTATTGTGTAATATTCCAAGACACAGATATAATTAATTTAATTCCCATATTGATATTTACTAAATAGTGCTGGTCTTCGATATACATATTTATACACTTATGTAAGTAAGATATATTCTTTTTTAAAAACTTTTATTTTGTGTTCAGGGGTACATGTGCAGGTTTGTTATAAAGGTAAATTACACATCTTGGAGGTTTGGTGTAAGATTATTTCATCATGCAGGTAATAAGCATAGTACCTAACAGGTAGTTTTCCATCTTCACCCTCCTCCCACCCTCCACCCTAATGTAAACCCCAAGGTCTATTGTTTCCTTATGTCCACCATTTCTGATTCAGAGTGTGTATATTTTCACTTTCGACAACCGTTTTAAAATTGTCCCTCCAAAACATTAAACCAGTTTGCCTTCCCGCTGTGTGAGAGAGCCTGTCTCCCAGTATCCTCCCTAGCCCTGGACACTTTTTAGTAGTTTTTTATAGTTGAGAAAATGGTATTTTAGTGTTTTGATTTGCATTCCCTTAGCTTTGAGTGAAGTTGGACATTTATATTTTTCTGTAAATTTCTTGTTTGTGACATTTGCCCATTTTAAAAATATTGAGCCATTTGTCTTTTTGTTATTGCTTAATGGAAAGTTTAATGTATTATAGATATTAACCCTTTGCCTATAATATCATATCTGCTGCAGATATTATTTTCCCAATTTTTCATTTGATTTTCTTTATGTTGCTTTTGTTTTGTTTTTATAATGTAGATTTTTTAGGCAGGGAGGATCTTACCTTTTCCTATGAGGTTACTGGTTTTCTGACAGACTTAGACAGGTCTTTCCCCACTCTAAAGTTAGCTTATTTTTTTTAATAGTTTTTCAAGGTTTCTTCCTGATTGGTTCAGCAGCTTCACAATATGATGTGGTTTCAATGTAACCATTTCCTTATTGACAGATACTTAGTTTATTTCATTTTTAAAAATTATTGTGGACAATATGACTGAACGTCCCTATCTGAACAATTTTGTAGGATTATTTTCTACTAGAAGTAGAAATAATTGTCATGGGAGTGCCATAATTTTATTTTCACTGGGATTATAGTCAATTTTTATTTAGTTATGTGTGTGTACAAGATATGTGGTGAACATCTTTTACTTTGTTCTTAAGTTTACTTATGTTATAGCAATATGTAAGGAAGCTTAGCTTTCATTTTCATTGAAACTCTCCTTTATAGAGTTGAACAAAATTCACTTTTATTGGCTCTCCACATTTTCTGGATAAATCATATTTGTGTTGTTTTTTAACTATGCATTTTTACTGTGTCTTTTATTAAGAATAACTGTAATTCAGCCGGGCGCAGTATCTCACGCCTGTAATCCCAGGACTTTGGGAGGCTGAGGCGGCTGGATCACGAGGTCAGGAGATTGAGACCATGCTGGTGAACACGGTGAAACCCCGTCTCTACTAAAAATACAAAAAATGAGCCGGGTGTGGTGGCAGGTGCCTGTAGTCCCATCTACTCGGGAGGCTGAGGCAAGAGAATGGCATGAACCTGGGAGTTGGAGCTTGCAGTTAACCGAGAGCGAGTCACTGCATTCCAGCCTGTGCGACAGAGCAAGACTCTGTCTCAAAAAAAAAAAAAGAATAATTGTAATTCATTTTCTACAGATTTCAAATAGTAATGTTTTTTAAGAGAAGTTTTAGGAAATTGTTCCTATTTCTCTAATGTGTTTGTTAGAAAGCCATTAGTCCTTATCTTATAAGTAGAAGCACACTTGATGTTCATCATTAAATGACACCTTATATCCTTAGATTTGCAGGAAAGCATATCCAGAATCCATCGAACAATTGAACTAATGTACTCTGACAAATCTATGATACAAGTAAGTGAAATTTTGAGCTAGTAATCATTGTCAAAATTATTTACATATATTTTAATTTATCTTTACATTATGTTAATCTAATTTTTCTTTACATGTTTTGATTTAAAATATTAGTAAATCAAAATTTTGTAATTTGGTAAATCAAAATTATTATTGTAAAATAATAAGGGTGTGCAATATGTACAATGTGACAGTTCATCTGAATGGGGGAAGTTTTGTAACAAATTTATAACAAAATTCATGACAAGTTTTCCCCATTCAGTTGTGTTTTCACACTGTATGTGTTGTGTACTCTTATTATTTTACAGTAAAATCTAGCAAAATTTTTCAAAAGGCTATAGCATCTTTAAAAAGTCTTATGGAAGGAAATCTATGGTTGTTAAAGGATTTTAAGATTTGGGAAGAAACCTTAGGACTCCGTTACATTTTAACTTCTGGTGTATATTATATCATCTATTTTGTTAACCGTCAATTTAGAATTCTGAAGATTTGGACACATTTACTATATATAAAACTGCCCACTCTAAGCTTTTTATTCAAAAGAAACAATTAGGCCAAGGAGTACATACACAATAAATACATTTTTAGTTTTTCAAAAATCATCTTTTTAATCTGCATACCTGTCAACTTTACATATCTTTAGCTTATTCAGATTTTGTCTTTTTAAAGTTTTATAGTTTTAAAGTTTAGTTTTTTTCAAAATTTTAACCCAGCCAGTTCTCTCTCATTTAAAAAAAAAAAAAAGAAAAAGAAATGCTCTTTTGGTTTCCTCCAAGCAGGTTGTTTGTGCGTCTCATGGAATGTGGTATAGTAGACTACATAATTGCAGTTTAACTCTTCTTTTTTTCACATTTAGGTTCCTTACCGATTACATGCCGTTTTAGTTCATGAAGGCCAAGCTAATGCTGGGCACTACTGGGCATATATTTTTGATCATCGTGAAAGCAGATGGATGAAGTACAATGATATTGCTGTGACAAAATCATCATGGGAAGAGCTAGTGAGGGACTCTTTTGGTGGTTATAGAAATGCCAGTGCATACTGTTTAATGTACATAAATGATAAGGCACAGTTCTTAATACAAGGTAAGAGTATATAGGGTGGTATATATTTTTTCAGTAGTCATAAAAGTGACTCTGGTGTGTGGTGTGATTAGTTAAGTGTAATTCAGGCGATGATAGATGTGATTAGGAAATGCTACTGGGTTTTGACAAGACTGAATTGAAAAGTAACGTCAGCAGAGCTAAGAATTGGTATATATTTTGTATTCCAAGTCAACTATTAAATGTAAATACGACCTTTTTTGTCCTTGCTAAAAACGCTTTAGTGACTATTCCACAAATTGACTCATTTTTAAAATTTATTTCCTTAGCCTAACATATATGGCCTCTGTTCTTGGCCTCTGATTATCTCCCCACCTTCATTGATCACCAGTGTTCGTTTTGAATTTATATACTTTACTGAACTTCTTGCTGTATCTGCTCATATCAAACCATTTCACACATTTATGTCTGCATGTTCTTACATGTTTTATTTTTTGCTAGTAATTCTTTTGCCTAATTCTTGTGCATCTGTCAAGATTCAGTTCAGGTGTCATTTCCCCTGCAAACTTGATCTGCCAGAAAGTATCTCTTCTTCTGCTCTCCTAGCATCTGTCTCCTGGGCATTTACTGTTGCGTATTGGAATTGTGTGATGACTTGCCGTGCACATTTCTCTCTCCTCTGCTCAAAGCCAGAGACCGTGTCATTCTATGTCTCAAGTTTTGTATTTCTGATATTCTGATATATGCTTTGCATATAGAAAACAATAAAAGGTTTATTGATACTGATAAAAATAATCTTTTTATATTTAGTCATTCAGCAGAATCAACTAGGCAGTCTACTTATGACTGAAAAAATGAAGTTATTTTTCTGTGTGTGTAGTAGAAGTTGAGTAATTCTTCTAAATACTCTAGTTTTAAGATCTTGCTATGTCAACTAATTTTCATGATTGCATATTTAAGTCTACTTAACTTCTTCATATGACAAGCAATTTTTGTTTTATTTTGAGCTAATAAGGTTAACATGGTTATGAGTTGGTTACATTTTGTGAAAAGTTTTACTTTTTAAGTAATCAAACATCTGGTATTTTCCAGTAATGGCAAGAGTAGTACTACATCACTGTTAGAGTAGCAGAGAAAAAAAAATGGCCAGGCACGGTGGCTCGCGCCTGTAATCCCAGCACTTTGGGAGGCCGAGGCGGGGGGATCATGAGGTCAGGAACTCGAGACCATCCTGGCTAACACGGTGAAACCCCACCTCTACTAAAAATACAAAAATTTAGCTGGGCGTGGGGCGGATGCCTGTAGTCCCAGCTACTCGGGAGGCTGAAGCAGGAGAATTGTTTGAACCCAGGAGGCGGAGCTTGCAGTGAGCCGAGATTGTGTCACTGCACTCCAGCCTGAGTGACAGAGAGAGACTCCATCTCAAAAAAACAAAACACTTGGCTTTGTGTTTTCTCTCATTTCTACTCTTAAGATAAAAAATAAAAAATGTGAGACCATTACCTATGATGGATTATCAAACATTTTTATCATTGTTTTTCTGAGCATTTGTTTGAATTTTAAAAAGTGTTTTAGGTAATAATTATTTGCTAAACAGTAGTAATTCTTTAGTATTGATTGGCTAATTGGTAATAATTCATAGTTTAAATTCTATTTGAAATGCAATCTATTTTGAGTGTTGCATGTTCCCTTTAATTTTTAATTTTATACTAGTTTTTGAAATATTACTTGCAGAGGAGTTTAATAAAGAAACTGGGCAGCCCCTTGTTGGTATAGAAACATTACCCCCGGATTTGAGAGATTTTGTTGAGGAAGACAACCAACGATTTGAAAAAGAACTAGAAGAATGGGATGCACAACTTGCCCAGAAAGCTTTGCAGGAAAAGCTTTTAGCGTCTCAGAAATTGAGAGAGTCAGAGACTTCTCTGACAACAGGTTTGTCCATTTTTATTAAGCTTTGTTTGATTATCAATATTGTTATTGTTATAATGATAAGATATGCTCATTATTAAAAAGGTTTAGCTGTCTTAAAGTATGAGGAAATCAGTAGAAATCATCTCACATTCCATCAGTCAGATTATCACAGTTAACAGTTTAGTTTGCCTTTAGTTTGCCTTTTTGCCAGACACCACTGTATACAGTTACATGTTTTTCAAGATAAATGAGATGATTCTGTTGACTTTCCCGCTACCTACTCTGCCTGTGTTGGGTGGGCTTGAATTTTCTTGGCAAGTAGCCGAGAAAGCTGTGAAATCAACAAGAAACCCAAACCAATTCAATTTGACCAAAATAATACTACTGGTATATTCATATATACTTTGTGCAATCGTAAAATACTACCATTAATAACTGTTTGATGTTTTTCAGAATTGTTAAGATTAAAAGAAAATTGACCAAAACTATTTAGTATATCATAGGTAAAAAATAAGTGTAACCTCTAAACCAAAGATATAAATGCATAAACATATAAATATTTTAAAGCATTATTCTTAAATAAACTATTAGCTGATGAAATCAATAAAATAAGTCAGAGTAAACACTGTATGAGAATTAAGAAAATAGTTTCTAGTAAAATTGAAAATATGTTGTCTTTTGATTTTCTTAAAAGATTACTCTTATCACTGAGTTGCAAATATGTTTTAGGGCAACATGTTTTCTGGTATGGAAAATGCTATTTCTGGGTACAAATTGAGGAAATGAGAAGCAGATAAATTAAGCCCATATATTTTCCTCAAACTCATTTGTCTCTTTTTATAAATGCTAGTGGATGTTATTGAATAACCTTTTTTCCCCCCAAGATCTGTATGTTTTGTTTTTTAAGGAAGCAGTTCCAGCTTTTGTTGGTTTAATTTCATCTTTTACAGACAGAGATTTCCTTGCAGCATTACCTGGTTGGGTTTCAGCATTATCGTTTGAACTTTAGAAGGAATTATTACTTAAGTAGAAGATTATTTTACAGTGCTACAATGTAGTATTGTGATTGATACAGGCATGCACAAATCTGTCCAGATGACTTATTTTCATGTAGATCAAATAGTTGTCATCAATTTTGATCCTGAGAGGCAGATAATTCAGCATTTTTAAAAAGGATAATGGTATTACAGCAACATTTTGATATTCCAGTGCTATGGAGAATACCACTATTATAGTGGCTGGTGAACTCTACCATTAGGTAGGACTGCACTTTTCCCTCCATATGTACAAGGCTACCATGTAGAGCAGGTGAAGCTATGTGGGTCCACAACAATGTAGTTTTTAGTACACATCAAGAGGTATCTAAGCTCAAATCACAGTGTAGTAACTATATTATAGTTCCTTTCATTTTTAAAACATTTCTGTCCCTTTGTGATTTCATGCTTTGCATTCTGTACGTATTCTTTCCAAATCACTCCTCAGAACCTGCCCCAAGATGGAGCTACTGTGTTACTGTTCCCTTAACGTTTACTTATTCCATTCATATGTGACTATTCTTGTTATTAGTGGGAGGAAGGGGCTGCATAATGTAGTATAAGCACTTGTTGTACCTAAGCTCCCTGATACGGGTGAATCTTCCATTCATTGGTTAAGCTCCAGTTTTATTCTTGGCTCACCTGTATATTCTGATACCAGATAATAAGTTCTAGATATCCTTCTCCCTTCATCTTGTCTGTTTCTCGTAAGTCTCACCAAATTTACAGAGTTAACATATTTTATTTCTGCTTAGTCAAACTAATACATATTCCCAACTAATACTCCTATCTGATAAGGACTAGCCATGCCCCATCCTCATTTTACATTTGTCATCTTTTTTTCTTTCTCTGTAAAAAGACCGTGTGTGTATAACTGCATCCATTTTTACGATCAGTACATCTGACCTACACTTTACATGGTGTTTTGTAATTTTTAAAAAATGCAGTACTAGGTATTGGACATATATTTTCATGTCTCTTTTTACCATGCAAAATAAACTTGAAGAGAATGTTGATGTATTTCTGGGAGGAACCAGAATAAAAGATAAAGAGATGAAAATGGTCAATTCCTATTCCTAGATGACTCTTGTAATTACCTTTCAGCATGGGTTTTTTAGAAAGCAGTGGTAATACTATTTCTGTAGGAAACATTGTATCCTCTATAGACTTGGTGGAAATATGCGCTTGGTTTGAGTTAGTAGAAGTAGCACATGCCAAGTCCATAAATTTACAGAGTGAGATTCTTGTTTAAAAGATTGGTTTCTATTACTATTATCTTTGAGATTATATTAAGAAATTTGTTCTCTGTTGCAGGATAGTTTCACATATCAAAACTGAATAAAGCTAATGTTTCATTAGAACCGTTTATTCCCTATTATTAATAGGGAAATTTTATTTTAATGTCCATGCCATCCTCTTCTGATTCTTCTCATAGTTTTCAAAGTAAGTAATTTAATTTGGTATAATACTTCCAGGATCTCAAAGCAAACCTGTATTTTAATCTCTCAGGTGTTCACTAGTATTAGGAGTGACTAGTGGAAATAATAAAAGGAAATCTTGTTTATAAAATTCACCAGAATGATTTTTTTCCTCCTTGGAAAATCTTCTCATTAAAGCTGAAACATAAGACCTAATAAAATTCATCTTCTACTGATTGATATTCCAAATAAGAGTACTAATTCATATTATATTAATCAAATTAGTATTTGTTCCTCTTCTGCTAAAATGTGATCGAGAAATTCGTGCATATCAGTTCTTCAGCACCTTTCTTTCCCTACTGAGATAATAAATGATGGGAAAGTATTTTTTGGTTCATTTCATGCTGCTTCCCTAGATCTGCTTACTGCAAAGGCCAACTTACTTGAATACTTTTGTTTAGATTTGTAGCCAACCATTCTTTACTATGAATGTATGGATCAGAATTACTAGGGGGATTTTTTTCTGAGTATGAACAGCACACCGTACCTAAGACCACGTAAGACATACTGGAATCAGAATCTCTGGAGAAAGGATCTGATACTATCCTATCTTACAGAGATCTTCAGATAATTCTGAGGTATACTTCTGGTTAAGCAGCATGACCCTAGGCTGTATTTATAAAACAGAAATTATTCTGGAGAGAAGAGCTTTGTCTGAGTTACTATTTTACTTATGTTACTCTTGTCTTATCCAAGAAGTATCTGAAGTCCTTACAATATAGCACACTCAGACTTTTTTAAAAAATAAGGAAACACTAGTGAAGATTGGAATGAAATGTATTGCATAAGGTTTTGTAAATTTGTCTAGAGGCAGCAGGCAGAATTGGCTCCGGGACTTCTTTACAAACACCGTCTGCAAGTTAAAAATAAACTGATGTTCCAGGAGAGTACAGTTGGATCCTGAGAGTAAGACCTGGTGGAATGAACAATATCTTCATTGTTCTCAGGTTCCTTGAAAGCAGGAACTAGGTGATATTCTTTCGTTTTGTTTTGAGAGTTTTGCTTTGTTGCCCAGGCTGAAGTGCACTGGCACGATCTTAGCTCACTGCCTCCCGGGTTCAAGCAATTCTTGTGCCTCAGCCTCCTGAGTAGCTGAGACTAGCGGCATACACCACCACACTGGGCTGATTTTTTTGTATTTTAGTAGAGACAGGGTTTCACCATGTTAACCAGGCTGTGGCCTGAGACTCAAACTCCTGAGCTCAGGCAGTCCTCCACCTTGGCCTCCCAAAGTGCTAGGATTACAGGCGTGAGCCACCATGTCAGGCCTGGTGGTGTTCTTATTTATATCTCCAGCATCTAGTATAATAAATGACATGTGGTAGATGCTCCTTGAAAGTTTTCTATTAATAAATTCATTCCCTATGGAGATTTCCAATCATGAATTTACTAGGGGTGATCCTCAGTTTAGGAGAACACACAATTTTAAAGTAGAGACAAAATAGTCACACAAAAAGGAGGCAGGCCAAATACATGTGGTGAGGACGTAGCTCTTTGTTCTGGATAAATGTATGGTTTGACTGGTTTCTAAACCTCTCTCCCCCACACCCCTCAGATTTTCTTTGGAATGGGGCCCAGGAATCTGAAGTTGCAGAAGTTCCACCAGTGATTCTATGCAGCCACCTAAGCGTGGCTCTTTGTAGGCCCTTACAGGGTATGGTAGACTTTTAAATACATATCTAGAAATGGATGGATTGTATATCTCTCAAGCAGTCCCCTTTAAATCTTCTTCAATGTGAACATAATAAGTATGACTTATTAGTAAGTCAACAAAATAAAGACTCCTGAAAGATATTAGAGATGTTGGTCTTATTTTTATAGTTAAGAGCAGATCCTTACTCTTTAATAGAAAGCCAATTGGTCGTAAAGTTGACCTTCTTAATACACTGAAGACATAACCAGGAAATATGCATAAGTAAAGCACCCCCAAACCCCCTCAATACCCTATTTCAACATGAAGATGGGCAAAAGGAGCAGGCTCAGAGTTACCTCAGAATGTTGAGTTGTCTTCTGTAACAGCTGGAGAAGCATGGCCGGAAAGTCACTCTGTGGAGGCCAGTCATTTGAAAATCCTAGAGAAATACCTGTAGAACAGGTGAGTGATTTGAGAGAGACTTTAGGAATAAGGATATTATTCACTTCCATACAGAACTGGTCATTCATGGTGAAATGAGTGCATTTAATTTTTTGTTTGTTTGTTTCCAGTCTCCCAGGGTTTCAAACCATTGTGGGTTTACCTACCGTGACTACAACACTGCTCATCTAAGTTCCCTGGGAGGTATATACCTAGGAAAAACCCTCGAGAAAATTGTCCTATATGGCATTTAGAGAATTTATAGCTGTAGGCCACTAGTGATGAGGTTTTTAATAAGGTTAGAGGATGAACAACAATTGTATTATATAGTAAAAGCCAAACTTGTTCTGCTGTTGTTCCTAACAAAGAAATAGAAATTACTAAAGTGTATGGTAGGGTATTAGTTTCGTGAGCCTTCCATACAGAGCAACACAATATAACCAGTACATGTTATGTTGAATAGAGAGTAATTCTTTTTGTTTAAAAATATGGGTGTGTAGGTAAAGTCTGGAAAGAATGTATCAGAATTATTAATAGTGCTTATCTCTGAGTAATGCAAAGAGTTTTTAATTTTCCACATTTTTCTTGTTTGTTCTAGTAAACATTTTTATTCTTTGGTTTGATAAAATGAAGACAAAACCTCTTTTTTGTCTTCTTTGACGATTTTTTTATACGAACTTTATTTTATAATCTGATTCCCTTATAATTCTTCCGAGACCACTTCCCTGTGAGTAGCCTGTGTTTCATCTACACCAGATTACTCCTCATTTTTCTTGCATGTAGGAAATTTTCCTGTCATTATGGCATGTTCATGAAGTATCCTTTATCTTAAAAATGTTCTTTTATCGTCATTGTTCATGAATTTTTGCATATTCTTTAAGATCTTCCTCATATCCCAGAGTCTTTGTGAATTTCTCTGAGAGCGCTTCTGTAGCAGCTGTTATCTTTTTCCTCTTAATTCCAACCTTTTCTTACTACCAAATGTATTATGTTCTTCTCTATTGTACTTACATTTTGGCTTGCCTTCCAATGTAGAGTCTCATGTATAGCAGGGATTTTATGAATCTTTGATCAGACCTTACAGTGTGCTGTTCCTTCTGCCTGGAATCTTTTCTATTCTTTTCTCCAAGATAATCCTCTACAAATTCTTCAAAACCCACCTAAGTTAGCACCTCTTCTGGAAAGTGTTTCTTAACAGGCAGCATTATCTCAAGTATGTGTATTGGGTCCACAGTGCTTTTATAAAACCTTGTGCGTAAGTTTTATTGCATTTAGCACATTGTATTATAATAGAATGTATATTTATCAGATTTCACTGAGAGTTCCTTAAAATTAGTGATGTAATCTTTTTTGTTTTTTACATTTGTAATACCTAATATAGTACTGAAAATGGCAGAGGTTCAATAAACATGTTGGGAATGCAATTTGAATTTTTTGTTTCCAATCTCCCAGGGTGTCAAACTATTGTAGGTTCAACTACCATGACAACAAAACCACTTGCGTAAGTTCCCTGGGAGGTGTATATATAGGGCAAACCCTAGAGAAAATTGTTCTGTATGACGTTTAGCCGGAAGCATTCAGTGTTACTCATAAAGTTTTTGCACTCAAACTCCTTTATGGAAGGAAACCTTGGCCCTGGTGACCTAAGGTGGATTTGACTTGTGTTGATCAGATAAAATTACTCTTGGCCCTAAGAACCAATTTTACAAAGATTCTAGGTTTCAGTGGGTCATTAGACCAATGTTAGACCAATTGGATTTATTGCTTTAAGTTCACATCCAGTTATTAACCGTTGACGTTATCTACTGTGGTGAAGAGAGGAAGAATGCCAAACACAAGGAAAAATTTTATCAACAAGGAGTTTCTCTCCCAGCCCTAAAGCAGCTGGCATGAGCCACCTGTCATGAATTCTTCCGGAAGCAGAAGTATTGCTAAGCTGATGGTAGCCAAAGGTTTTCTTTATCGATTACTCATGGGCATTGAAAGGCTATTCCAGTTCAAAATCAGGAAATGATTTAATGAGGACTTTAAACTTCTTTTAACTTCTCTCCTTCCTTTTTGTACACATTATAGGCATCCTCACCTCTGGTTTTCCTTATCACATAGTTTTACCTCCATGATCTTAGTTAACTCATGTCAAAAACTTGGTATGTTCATGTGCAGTCTCCACACCTTTGTGTCCAAAATATGTTTTGATTCTAGCCAATTTTGTGTCCCTCTGTTGCTCTCTCTGTTAATCAGAAGGCACATTTCTTTCTTTTTCATGTTGCTCTACTGCCTTCTATTACCTTCACTGATCTCTAGTTTTACTTTCCTCTCTAATTCATTCTTCACAGTATCCCCAGAATAATTTTTTAAAAACTTGTGTTGCCATTATGTTTAAAAAATACTTCCAATTGCCTGATCTAAAGTCTGTTAGTGCTTTTGTCGCTACCTGCATCATCTCTTGCCATTTCTCCACTCTCGTACTGTAGTCCAGTCATATTATTATCTTTTTTGAATCTAGTCCATGCTCACTGCATGGACTCTTCATTCTTCCACGTGGCAAAACAACTCATTCATTATTCAGCTTAATAGGTCACTTTAGGTCACAATCCAGATTGCTCATATCTCTTCACCGCCATTGTAGCCCTAGAAAGTGTTATAATGTTGTCAAAATTTGTATGTATGATTATTTGGTTAGTGGTGTTCTCCACAGATGACTGTCAGCTTTATGGAGACAGAGACTGGCTGCTTTGTCAGAGACTCACTGAGATAAACCCTTCTGGTCATGTAAGGATTTGAGGCTTGTCTAGTCTAGGGAACACCCAGTGGACATTCACTGTACATTGTTGGATATATGAGTCTGGAACTCAAAAGATGGGTAGGAGACATCATGAATTTTTATCGGCACCAGTTTGCTTTTCCTCTGACAACACTCAGCTACTGGGGGCAAGTGCAGAAAAGATGGAAGGTTAGGTTCATTCAGGGTTAGGATTTTGCCAGGAAGTATGAAGGAGGACGCTGTGGCAGAGAAAAACAGCTCCTGTGCCTTCTATGGAAAGTCAGCCCAGGATTGCTGTTCAAACCAAATTCTTTTGGTAAAATGCTGGCAATTTTTCCAAAATGGACTTTTGGTATTTCTCATAGCAGAAAAATCGACTGTGAATTCCTTACCATAAACTATAATGACAGCTTTCTTTCATAATTATTGGAGTACTCTTAGTTCTGGGTTTTTGTTTTTGTTTTTTAATGAATTCTGGGAAGAAGTGCTATACGTGGAAGAATATATTTTACTTTGAATGGAAGACTAAGATTGGTTCTTACATAATTTCAGATATAGAAATAAATAAAAGATTTATCTTAGTATAGACTCTGTGGTTTATATTAGATATACAATTGATTCTTTTCTCATGAAGCACAAGCAGCAGGAGACCCAGAATATCTAGAGCAGCCATCAAGAAGTGATTTCTCAAAGCACTTGAAAGAAGAAACTATTCGAATAATTACCAAGGCATCACATGAGCATGAAGATAAAAGTCCTGAAACAGTTTTGCAGTCGGTAAGAACTTTTCTTTTGGCTCTCTGAACATAGCCATGGTCACGACATTTCCCCCAGTATAGTGGAGAGGGACCTGTCTGGGAGTCAGGAGAGACAGGGCCCAGTAATGGCTCTGCCATGGGCATGATCAAGTGACCATGGGCAAGTCATCTAATGCCCAGGCTGTGATTTCCTCAGCTGTAATTGTAAAGACACTTTTCTCTTCAGTTTCTGTCTTTCTACTATAGAATTCTAATGAATCATAATCACAGATTAAATTGACCATTTGATTTGGAACTTAAAAAGAGAAGTGTAAAATATAGCAGTATTTCTCCTGTCTCTCACCCATTCCTCCATCTGTAATCTGATTACATTGGAATAGCTGGGAATTTAAGATGTAATTATCATGATTTCATGAAATGTGTTTAACAGTAAAACTACTAGATGCTTTAGGTTACAGTATTATTAGAAGGATAAGTATGATGTTGCAAAACTGTTTATGAATATTTCAGGAACGTCCTGTGCAAAAACGTCATTAGCCTACTCTGGTAGTTTTCAAATGCATCTTTTTATAACAGTAAATTGAGCATGTTGGTGTTATACTATGTTATCAGTGCATATGACATTCTCAGAGGAGCTATTTCAAGAATTTGTTACTACTAAATCTTTCACTTCCTGTAGTCATTTATCTTTGTTAGTGAGCATAAGCAGCTCTAATGCAGATTTTATAGTAGCTCCTTTTAATATTTGAAGATTCCCCTTGACAACTAAAAAGAGTACGACATACCATAATTTTACAGCACATAATTTTCTGCTTAGTAAGTGAATTCAATGCCAGCAATAACCTGCTAATTGCAATGAGGCCTTAAATGTATAATAAGACTTCCTTTAGCCAGAATGTTCAAGAGATATGTTACTCTGTTGATTTTGTTTTGATGAACTAAATAACAATAAAAATTATTTTTTGTTTGAACAAATGTATTAATATATCATCTTATTAAAAATGTATTAATTTAAATAATTATTTGATGATTCCAAATTTTGCAAATGCCTTAGAAGCTTTAAATGAATTTAATATGAACATCACTAACTCTAAAGCTTTTCCTGGAAAATGCTTTGTTTAGTAGATCTGGGATGTCTGCTTCTTGGGTAATGGTAAGAGGAAAACCTAGGGAAGGAGGAAAAACAGTAGTAGGTACAAGGGGAAATAGTTTTGTCTGATAAAAACTGCATTTGCAAGGCCTCTGCTAATTAGAACTTTTATTTGTTAAAGCCTAAATTATGATTAATAAGTGTCACTTTTTAAGCTGGTATTAGAAAACCAAAAGCATTACTTAGCTTAATGTAGAATCCTGATTTTAAGTTTGGAAAATCATACGGAGTTTAAATTTGCAGAAGTCACCTAAATTTTGATTGCTCAGCTTAGCATAATATGGATCTCGTCTTATAAGGTAGCAACCTACTGCCTCATCTTTACTTCAGAAAGGAGGATGACAGGGGGACTGTATGATCGACAGATATGCTATTTGTCTATTCATTTAATTGTTTTCTGGAGTGGCATCCACAGTTAGCCCCGTCGTGTATGTAAATCCTGAAGCAAGTCTAAGAATTCATAACTGTGGCTTGATTTTACAGTCAGTTGCTTAGTGTCATGGTAACTACTTCATAGGGGGTTTTTTCATTTAAACTTAGCATACACTAGAAGCTAAATTGCGCAGGTGAAAAGTGTCTTCAGACTGGGATTAAACATTTCTGGATTTTGGAATATTAGTTTTATTTATTATGAATGCAACCTTGAATAAATTGCTTAATTTCTCCAGATAGACCTCAGTTTTCTTTTCCATAAAATGAAGGTAATTGTAGGATTAGACAAGAGCATTATTTGTAAGTGCTTGGCATGGCATGTAGTGGGCACTGAGTAACTGTTGGTTTCCTTCTGTTACTTCAGTCCTAACCACTTTTCAAATATGCAATATATTAAAATCAACCTTAGTATAAGAAAAATTTCCTGGAAAGCATAGAATCATGGAAATTAGAGAAAGTCTTCAAATGTTTAGGTACCCTGCTTTTTAGAAAAATGTCTTTACTTTTAAATGGAATACTTCAGGATATTTTCAAAATAGAGAAAAGTAGACCCTGAGAAAAAGTCATGCATAGTCCCACTCACTACTCAAAGTTAATTATTGTAAATATGTTGGTATTTTTTTCACTCTTATTTTAATATGTAGATTTGGGATTTATTTTTATAGTTGAGTTGCATACAAAATTTTGTCTTGCTTTCTTTTAATCACTTACCCTTTATAACCATTTCCCCATGTTATAAACTCAGTAAAAACATTTAGTGACTATTATTCCATTGAATAATTAACATCTTGTTTATGTATCTCCTCCCCCATTGCATATTTGTTTCTATTTTTACATTATAAATAGGCTACTAGAAATGAAGACTTTTTCTTATTTCAGGTTATTTCCTTAGAATAGATTTTCCATGGTTGAATTACTAGGTTAAAAGGTAAAGGCACATTAATGTGGCCATGGACTTATATAGCTTTTTTGCCATCCTTCTTATGAGACCACTTTTTAAAAAGTCATATAATTAATGAATTTCAGGCAATTCATAAAAATCTTTGTATTATTTTTGCAACATACTAACTGAGAAACTTATTTTTAACTCTTTTCAAGTTTAGCCTTTGTTAATGTATTCATTTAAGACCTGAAAATAATAGAAAAAGATAAGTAAACATGTATTTTACTTTAGTGAGCCCTTAAATTCTTTACATGAAAAATTTTTATAGTACTTTGGGATATCTAGATTTGATGAATGATACTACAGGATTATTATATGTGGCAAAGTTTCTTCCCCTTTTCAGCTTTTACCCCTGTATTTAATCAGCATTTTGCTGTTGAAACTCTTCAATAGTAACTGAAAAGGTTTATAAAACATTTATATTCCCTAAGTGCAATATTTTTCCCCCAAAGGGAATCTGTTTTGTAATGATTAATAGTCTAAGTAATAACCATTTGCCTTAAATTTATATTTTCTTTCCCTAAGATAGAATTGTTTTGGATGGGTTTGCTAGTGAGAAATCATCACCACAAACTCCAAACAGATTTCTGAATCTACCTGTTTATATTTTGCTCTTGTGTACAGAGACCTACTACAGTTCTTCTCTTATATGCTAGAAAGATTAAAAATCCTTAATTAAATGTCATGGACCAAGCACATCTCTGTAGAATGTGTGTGATAGTAGTATTAGGTTAAAATTATTCAAATATAAGCAATTTAAAGTAGCACAACAAAATAGTATAGTGACTCATAATAGCTGTCATTTTAGAGAACAGCTGTTACCAGGTGTTGGCTGCATATTATCTCTCATGATCATGATACCTGTTTAGGCTGATCATTTCCCATTGAAAAGTTGTCGATTTTGATAAATTAAGGAGACACATATATGTGTATATATATATTTTAAGACAGGGTCTTACTCTGTAACCCAGGCTGGAGTGCAGTGGTGCAGTCTCAGCTCACTGCAACCTGCGCCTCCCAGGTTCAAGCAATTCTCGTGCCTCAGCTTCCCAAATAGCTGGGATTACAAGCATATGCCACCATGCCTGGCTAATCTTTGTATATTTAGTAGCAGCAGATTTCACCGTGTTGGCTAGGCTGGTCTCCAACTACTGACCTACAGTGATTCGCCCATCTTGGCTTCCCAAACTTCTGGGATTATAGGTATAAGCTACCACGCCATGCCAAAAATAGCATTTATTTTAAAAGGGGCAGTACCAGTTGCAGCTATTGGTTTTGTTTTATTGTTCAATTAAACTCTTTTTCTATATATGCTTCCAGGAAGCCAGAAAATGTTCACATTACTAAAATTTATCTATATTTCTAATGGAAATAAAACCTTTTTAATTGCTGTTATGAAAATGTTTTTTGTAATATCAAAACAAAAGTTTATCTTTATGAAAACTTACGCAATTCAGTTACTTAAGTTGCTTTCAAGCACCTTCAGTACTTTTGGCTTTTTTAATAGGTAAATAGTGGATATGCTAGTTATAAATATGTTGAATAAGATAAATAAGTATGTAAAAATCTGTATGTTATTTTGAATGAATCCTATTAGTGTCATAACGTTTTGAATGAAATTTTCTGAATTTTACACTGACTTCTGTATTAGTGTAGATTACTGAAATGCATAGAATTTGTTAACAATAAAAAGAAAAAAAAGGAATAAATCTGATTGAGTTGTTTAAAATGGGTATCAGCTTCCAACAGCTTTTTCTTATTTTCAGGAAGTGTTTGTTGAACACTTAAGATATAAATATACTGTAGTCTCATAGGCCGTATGTAATTAGTTAAAATAGAATATGGGTATTAACTGGATATACAATTGATTACCAAAAAGAATAGAAGGATAAAATTATAAGGGAAAAAACCCAACAAATTCTGATGAGTTTAGAGGAGGTCATATCTTATTTTGGTTGAGATATCAAGAAAGGTTTTTGGGAGCTATTAGACTTTTTAAAAAATTGTCAGCTATATAGACAATGATAGAAATACAACTCCACTATTTTTTATCTTAAGTACTTAAAAGTTCTAAATACTTTCAGGGAAAAATGTAATGATATTGGTAATACCCAGTTTGAGGATGTAAAGGGAAAACTGTAGATTTTGTGTTACTACTTGATGAATGCATTTGCTTCTGATGTTCAGTTTTAAGTGGTTTCATTTGATACCTACCAAGTAAATGCAGGTATTTTTAAAAGATTTAAGAGTATGCACTTAAACAGTTTTTAATAGTGCATGTGCATTGGAACCTTTAAAAATAAGTCATATGGGTACGGGGCAGCTGCTTAGGGATGTGCAGGTTACACAGTTGTGCAAAGATGCCATTGTTCTCCACTGTTCTGTTTTCTAATATTTATATTAATGATTTCCTTCTGCAGAAACCTGAAAATACTACAAGCCAACCACTTTCTAATCAGCGAGTTGTAGAGGTGGCGATCCCTCATGTAGGGAAATTTATGATTGAATCAAAGGAGGGGGGTTATGATGACGAGGTACATTTTACAGCCCTCTGCACCATTGCTACTTAACTTTTGCTATTTAATACAAATACTTTGGGCATGCCTGTACCCTCATACTTAATGTCTGTTGCTACATAACATACAGCTTTGCCCCCTCATAGTCCAAAATTACTTTACCAATTATTAACAGAACTTTGAATTTCAAATGAAAATTTAAGTAGAAAACGTATGGAATTGTCAAAAGAATTTTCTATTTCTGGAGTTAATTCTTTTATGCAGAAATAGTACCAGTTTACTTTCAGGTTCGCAGATTACAGTAAGATTTGTTTAATTAGTACAAAATTTTTTTGGATTTAAAAATAATTTTTTATATTCCATTCCTGTTTTACTGGAATTACTTATTATAATACTTTGCCCGCTACCTCCTGCCGGAAGATCCCACAGCATGATTGCAGGATGCATAATTGATATTTTTGCTACTACAGCCTCTCCATGTGACTGTGAGTGGAATAACTCATCAGCATTACTGAGTGTCTACTGTTAATAGGACCTCCATCTTTATTCTTATCTCTTCACTGTCAATTCTCATTTACTTAGTTTTCCAACAGTATGGAGGCATTTTTGTTTCTCATGATTTAGTTCTTTGGAATCCAGATGAAAATGATCTGTTGTCTTATTCTATCAGATTATTTTCTCCCCTTTTCCACTTTTCTCTTGAGACTCTTAATATTACTCTTTTTGAGGAACGGCCACTAAAGCTGTTTTTGAACAGGAACACAGAGAAGGCCATAACTACTGGGAAGTGGGGGAGGGGTGTGATTTGGTAAAATGCTTGTTGGATTCTGGTTTTTATGGGTTTGGATAAGAATTGCATTTATATTAGTTTTTTTCACGTAACTTTTTTTCTGACTTACTCCAGTGTTACTTTCGTGCCAGAGTTAATCACCAAAGTCAGCAGTGTCATAAAGACATATTACTGTACCAGTGTAGGAAATCACAGGCATAACGAGGATAAACAGATTTGTGAGATAAACTGGTCAGAGAGTTTTCTCAAGCAGATGTTAGATATATTGCAATTCTCAGTGTATAGTCCAAAGTAAATACAATGAGTAATAGGTTCAGTGAATCAGAGGTAATGGATGCAGTCTCTTGATCTCTATAAGATAGCTTCATAGGGCCTTGAGTAATTTCACTTTGCAGTTATTTTAAAATGTAAACAGCTAAAAATAATCTGTTATGAAAACCAAAAAAAATAATGCTTAAGTATTTAGTACTTAATGACTCTACATTGTTCCAGTTAACTATTTTATAAACATGCTAGCTCTTGAAAATTATGGAACCTGGCATGTTTTTAATAAACCTATCAATTTATTGATCAAGCAGTTAAGTACTTGTTTTAGGATGTGCCTTCTTTCGTTTAAAAAAGTTGAATTGTGATTAATCATTTAACACTATCTTTTGTGCAAGTGCTTATGCTATTGACAGAGTTGTGTCTTTTGCCATTGTTTTTTAAAATTTATTGCAGTGACAGTTTAACAGTGCATGTGCATTGGAACTTTTAAAAATGAGTTGTGGATACAGGGCTGCTGCTCAGGGATGTGCAGGTTGTACAGTCTGCAAGAATGACTAGACAAGGGGCAGAAGTGGGAAGCAAATTGAGTTCATGCTGAGCTCTCTGAGGCTTGAGGAAGAGGTACCTTTTTAAATTGATAAAAAAGGATGTTGCTTTTTCTAAATAGTTCACTCAGAGGATAGCACATTTTTAAATTTGTTTGTCTGGAACCAGGGTGCCTTTTTCAAATTCTCCAATTCAGAGAGGATGCCTTTTTGCAGTTTGCACAAAGGCACCGTGTGAGCCAGCTGTGCCCTGTATGGATGATCTTAAAAGGTGCTTACATGTGTGTTGGATTAAATTTGGTCTTAGAAATGCAACATTTGATTTATAAACATGGAAAACAAAGGAGTTTCAGCTTGCATGTAAATACATTATTTTAGTTTAAAAACTTTTTTTTAATGTTAACTATCTTCTGTGGCAGATCATGATGACACCGAACATGCAAGGTATTATCATGGCGATAGGTAAATCCAGGAGTGTGTATGACAGGTGTGGCCCTGAAGCAGGGTTCTTTAAGGTACAATGAACATTTTCCTTTTCATTTCTTTTCTTTTTCAAAATTAAACTTCTTAAAATATTTTATTTCTTTGAATTCAGTTTGGTTTTCTGTATAATTTCTCTTTTCCGATCTTAGCTATGGCCACCAGATGTCCTAGGGTTTTCTTTTATGTATTCATTAACCTAATACTGATTCTTTTTCTCTTAATCCAGGTAATTCAAGAAAAAAAATCTTTTTATTTGAGTCACTCTAATAGTGTCCTTTTGATTTGTCAGCAGAAATTTGAATTGTATTTTTTATTTGAAGGGAATGAGAACATTGATGAACAATAATAAGAACTGAGTAAATTGCCTCTGGTAATAGTTCATTTTATCTTCATTGTTCATATTATTAGTCAATGTCATAATATTCTTTAATTTTATTACCATTAGGTACTAAATTGCTTTTTGTGTTTATAAAATGATTTAATTATATTATTTTTATGTTTCCCCATAATTAATTTTTGATAACCTAGTCTGTTCAAGACATGCGAGAACATCAAGCTGCACACTAGTCTATGATTTACCCACATCTTTTTCCCTCTACTATCAGAGCTTTACAATGTTTTGATGACAATTTTTTTGCTTTTACAGATTTGAAAGATGAAAATACCACGTATATTTTGTCATTTTATTTATGTTGACCAAAAATCTTCACTTTTTTTTTTCCCACTCTTTTCAAACCCTTCTTAGTGGTTTTTAAAAAGCAGGGTTTTTTTGAGGTACAATTTGCTACAAGTAAACTATGCATTTCTTTTTGATATTAACAATTAAAATTTTTCATTTTCTGTATTTTGGCATCATCTAACTTGGTCTTTCAAAAACTGTTCTTTTTTCACTGTTTCAGTATACAGTGCAAAACAAAAGCCTTGTACACAGTAGTAAACATATCAATAAGCATTTTTGGATTTGTTAGGATTAAGGTAACTAACTCTCCTGATATGCCCAGGACTGAGGGATTTCCTGGACTATAGGATTTAAAGTGCTAAACTGGGAAAGTTCTAAGCAAACTGGTCCCAGCACAAGTTGATCAGCCTATTATGATCCCATAAGAAAGGTTGAAAATCCACTTCTAAAAAAAGAAGAAAAATACATGTTTTATAGTTTCCTGTTTTAATACATTTTTTATAGTTTCCTGTTCTCTTACTGGCTTCTTAATTTTTACAATTAGAAATTCATTCTTATGCCCAGATAGTGTACATTTTCTTTTCTTAAAAAAAACCTGAATATATGTCCTCTAAAGTTTTTATTTCTTGTGGAAAAGTTATTGATGATTTATAGTGCCATTGTCATTTCTGACTAGGTTGGGTCTTTTTATGTTGAATTGGAAATCTCATTTTTTATTAAATTAATATCTGCATATAAAGAATCACCTAACTGTATATATTACAACAGTTACTAAGCCCCCAGTGGATAATGACTTTCAGTTATTTAATCTGTTTGACATTAATTCATATCTTTAAATAGAATGCTTGGGTTTTTTATTCACAGTTACACATTACCTGTTGAATTTGCTTCTATGGAATATGAATGATGAGCTCGCCTTCTTTTCCTGCTTCACATACATACACTGAGAGACACAGCTCCCATCCCCCATACACACACACACACACGTAAAATCTTATAATTTTGATTATATCAGAATTCTGCATTTGTAGTATTACTATATATGCTATATATGATTAAACTGTATTATAAATATTACTACTTTCCATTTTTCCCTCAACTTTCGTTTTCCTTAAACTTAGTTGTTTTGTTTTTTGGTTGGCTTCATTTTTTATGTGCATTACTGATTTAGTTTAAAGCTGTCCACTGCTTGTTTAAATCTCCTCTCATTCTGCCTTTATCAATTTTATTTTCCTAGGACATCTATTCTGGAGCTTTATGACCTGCCCTAATCTCTATTGGTTTTTCTTTTCTCCTGATCCATAACTAGTAACCTGAGATCTCCTTTCACCATCATGCTGGTGATTCCCTTTGCATCTACTCCTTTGTGTATTTTCTGTATTTCACATATTTTTCTTTTTTGGTTTGCTCTATGATTTTGATAGTACAGCAAGAAAGTATGGGCAAGAATCAAGTTTGTGAAAGAGGGACAGAATGTTTTCTTAAGTAAGTTATGTTATATTGCAACTCTCCGTGCATAATCTCAATAAATACTGTAGTTAATAAACTTCAGTCAATCTGAGGTCAAAGTTTTCAAGTAGCTTTGGAGATTTTTGAGTCGAGTTTGATGTTTTACTCATAACATAAACTTGTGCTCTTTGTCAGATGTTAAAAATAATTACTACAGTATTTCTATTTCACTAACCATTCTCCTTACTATCCTGATACTCCCTTTCCTGCCTTTTTTTTTTTTTTTTTTTGCTGGAAAAACACAAGAATAGCTGGAATGTACATTAGGAAGGAAGTAGTTTATAGGTTGATATTAGCAGCCAGACTGCCTTGGCCGACTGCTTTGTAGGTTTGATTTTCGGCAAATTATTCAATCTTTGTATCTCAGTTTCCCAAGGTGTTAAATAACTATTTATTTTATTGAGTCATTGTGAGCTTTAAAAACATTCTATCAATGTTACGCTTTTAAAGTAGTATCTGGTTGATAGTAAATGCTCGGAATTTAGCTGTTATTGTTGTTAGTATTATCACGAAGCTTATCTTATGTGTCCAGTTCTGGTCCACATATAGTAGGAGATGAAAAATGAGAGTACCATGTCTGTGTCAAGGACTTTTATTTGCTAATATAATTTTTTAAACTCATTTGTTAGAAATTGTCAGTTCCATTTTAGAGTAACAAAGTTAACAGTTTCATTTGGCTTTACCTAATAATTACTATCACAAAACCCTCTTTCTACTTTTTTATCTCTTTAGTGTGTGTATATGTTTATAAAATTTCTGAAGCTTGCGTACATTTTCACCTGTGATTGCGTTTATATATGTGTGTAACCCTATGGAAACATACATCAAGTTGTTTCTAATTAATGCATGTTTTTGGTAAAGGTACAAGCATTTGGACAACTCCAGCTGATAATATGTCACCTTAAAAATTTTTACATATAAAACATGAAAGTAATATATAAAAAATGCAGTTGTATTCAGTACTATAGAAGTGTCTAAAATAAAACTAACAATGACAGTCTCTGCCACTGCCCTGTTGTAACCATTCTTAGTGCTGTGTATCTTGTTTTTTTCTTTTTGTTTGTAACAATGCACATATACAGAGACTTAAAATTTTTTTAATGTAGATTTTACTGTTCATAATATTTTGTAACTTATATCACTCAGAAATCTATTGTGGGCTTTCTTAAAGTTTAGACAATATCACATTATCTTTACTAGCTGTCTGCATACACACACATGTGTACACATGTACACACACTCACACGTGTACATACACACAGTATTCTATGGTATAGATGTACTCTCATTTCTTACATCTTACCCTCTTTATGGACATGTGTCCTATATTTTCTCCCAGTCTACCCTTTCTATTTGAATTAATTTAGAGTACCTTTTTTCTTAAACAGGTTTTAAAATAGTATGTTCCTTTTCCTACTGTTTGGATTTTTTTTTTCCCATATTAAAAGATCTACTCTACCAGAGTTATAGAAATTTTCCCACTATTTACTTAAAATACTTTTAGTAAATTTTTATTTTGTAAATTCAAATGCTTGCTTTTTAACTTATTAGTATTTTATTTGGGCTTTCTGCGTTCTGTATTAAATGAATTTGGTGTATGTCTTTCTTTTTTGTGCTGTCTTTACCAAGTTTGCAATTAGGGTTATGTTAGCTTTGGTAAATGAGTTTAAGAGCTTTCCTGTTTTTTTAATACTTCAATGTGTTAGCATAGGAATGATCTGTTCTGTAAGTTAGAACTCACTCGTAAGATCATATGAGCCTAGGGCCTTCTTGCGGGGTAGATCTTTTAACACATTTTTTGGTTCATTCCACAGTTATTGGCATGTTTAAATATTCTATCTTTTTTTTTTTATTGATTTTAATCATCATCAACATTCAGTATTAATTCATAAAATATGTACATGCCACAGAATCTAACATGGTGGCTGCTTCTGTCTTCCAGTTCCCCTCAATTAGATAAAGTATTTTTAAATTTTTGTTCTTTTTTGTGCTTAGCATGTTATAAATTGAGGGAAGAGTTTTTTGTGTGTTTGTTTGTTTTGTTTTGTTTTGTTTTGTTTGAGGCGAAGTCTCGCTCTGTCGCCCAGGCTGGAGTGCAGTGGTGTGATCTCGGCTCACTGCAACCTCCGACTCCCAGATTCAAGCAATTCTCCTGCCTCAGCCTCCCGAGTAGCTGGGACTACAGAAGCCTGCCACCACACCCAGCTAATTTTTGTATTTCTAGTAGAGACCGGTGTCACCACATTGGCCAGGCTTGCCTCAAACTCCTGACCTTGTGATCCGCCCTCCTCGGCCTCTCAAAGTGCTGGGATTACAGGCGTGAGGCACCGCGCCGGGTTGTGTGTGTGTGTTTTGTTTTTTAATACCTCTTGTGTCCTGCCACATCCTGAAAAAATCTTGGTCAGGTTTATTTTACATTAACTTTTTGGCTATGAAACAAAGCTTTTTAACTCTGTGCCGTTTAGGTACTTCTGAATATGGATTTCCTTATGTATTATGATTAGACCAACTTTTTAATACTCTAAATGTTTGCTAGTGATCAAAATGGTGATGCCACTATTAGCCTTGTTATATGACACAGGTCTGAGTAAGTGGACTTGCTAAAGTTTAACCTCCGAATTAGGAAGTTACCAACCAGTCACAGGAACTCTTTCAACCACAGGCCCTCCCACATGAGAGTCTGCCCTATAAGAATGCAGTATGAAAAGTTAATAGGCAAAGCAGATCTGGGGGAAAAAAGAGCAAGAGGATGAGACTGGGCTATACTACACTAACTTGAGTCCTTCTCTCAAATTAACTTTATTGGTTAAGACTAGTTTCTACTATAGAAAATCCCCAAATAAC